ATCTTTACCCTACCTGTAAATTCTGCGATCCCCTAACAATTTGGCAACATCGTCTAAAAAAACAAAATCATTCTCGATCTTCACTATCATAAAAATCAACAATTCCATCTCTCGTTTCCTCGACACATAGTCCATCAACGACACCCTCTTTGGCTACTCCAATACTAAACTGACATGGTTTTTGTGAACCCGTCACTGTCATAACTTATAAGTCACTGTTAGAAGTTGTACATTTTTTTTCACTCTTAATCATGAATATTATAGATGTTAACAAGTGTCATATTTCTAATATAATGCTTTATTTTCCTTCATGAATAGCTGAATTATAGTTTGTATTTTCTCTTGATTTCAATAATGTATCTAATTATACTACCCTCCCGTCCCCTCCCAGGGTCGTCGGTAAGTGGGAAGTCACCGCCAACTTCACGGCGGGGCGGGGTGTTTTGTCACCGGCCACCCCGCGGCCCAAACATCTTCCAACGGGGGTTTCTCCGGCAGTGGGCACTCGCTGCCCTCGTCCAGAGACGCCGGTGGACCCCACTCCTCGTGTGTGTTCTTGTGCTAACTGTGTACTTCATATTGTCTTTAATAAGTTCTCTCCTAATTTTTTGAGTTAATTATTCAATGTATAGCTAATGTATTTTCTCTTCCCCTCTCCTCCTAGGGTCGTCGGTGAGTGGGTCGTCACCGCCATTACTGGAATGTCTCAAGATGTACTTGGGAGTATCTTTTATCATCTACAGCTTATCGTGTGACAGTCGCCCTGTGGTAAAATTAACGTGGCTTTTTTTTCTTTTCCGTTAAAAACTAAAAATTGGTGCGGATTTTTTTCAGATGTTCTGTTTTTCCTCCATGAAGTGACATCTTTTTTGCACACATATCCACCGTTATGTCGCTTGAACTGAATTGAAGAATAACGAGTAGGCGTAGGCCTATTATTTTGTATGAAAAATAAGTTATATGTCTTTCTTTTTTCAGATCAGCTTGAAATTTATTAGGTTTATGGTAAAAACAAGATTTGAAAAGCGGCTATATCACTGCTGCAGAAAAAAGGATCGGTGGCTGGTCGCTGCTGGTTCGCAAGATGTCCTTTGTTTTTATCAATTTTCAGTGGGGAGGTAGACACAGTGTTACACGAAATCGTGAATTGAGAAAAGGGCCAGGGTACGTCTCATGATGCACCACGTGACAGTGTTGAGCATGGGCGATATGTGATTGAAATGCAGCTTATCGGTACTCACCGATAACCCAGTTGTTGACAGACACATACCCCGTATCGATAACAATACATAAGAATTAAAACAACCCTGGTCTTTGGAATTCGCTGCTTAGAAAGGACTTTGTATTAGAACAGGCTTATATCAAGAGTCAACTGCACATGCCATGGACGGCATGACTCATCTCCGACGCATAGGGCCTCGTGCTTCCACATCCAAAATGAAAATTTCCCTATCCCCAGAGCCAAGTTTCGTTATTTTCCTCCCGATTTCCTTTTTTTTTGTGAACCACCAAAAAGCCTAATATACTACCAAAACTACTACGTTGGTTTGGTAGATGATAAGCAGAGGTCAGTACAATCATGTGTTCCTTCCTCCATGGCACAATGCTCAAACTCACGGTCTTGAACAAAAAAATCAGACTGTGTGCATCATGCATGTGTGGCGATACTGATCTGCATAACAGACAAACTTGTGCGCACGCGCAGAAAGTTTTATTCTACTAGTCTTGTTTCCAGTCAAACTGAATTTGACAGAATATTACTGTAGAGTTTGAAATGCAAATTTTGCTGCTAATTTTGAGAATATTTGTAAAATTAGCTCGGAATTTAATTATTTCCTTAGAATTTCTTTAGATTTTGGGCATTTCCTCAAAATTTCCTTCGAAAGCAAAAATTTCCTTAAAATAAGGAAATTTCCTTGAAAGTGAAAGCACTGGATGGAACAGGAGAAGAGGTCAGTAACTTAGCAGATATAAACGTGAAAAAATATACTATTGATGTTCACGCACCACTGATCTCTACTACAGTAGAGATCGGTGACATGGACCGATGGAGCTCTTTACAAGGGTCAGGTCAGGTTCAAGTTGACGAGAACATTAACTGGATCACTACGATCACGCGATCGCTACTACTTACTAGCTTTTACTACCCCAGAACTGTACGTGGGGTCTGACGTCCGCTTATCCCCGCGAACTGTACCCTGGCAAGGTAGGGCGTATGTTTGGCAGTGGCTGTGACAGTTTCCTCCAAAGTGAGTCAAGCTCTTTCTTAAAATGTACCCCGACCATGTACGCAAATCTAGCTGGCATTCAGTATGGGCCTAGGCCTGTAGATTATTTATTTCCTCAGGCTGAAGCTGAGGGAGAGACTCGTTGGGTGTAGAGATTTTCAATTGTACAAGCACAGGCATTATTCTTGTTTAATGCTGGTTTGATGATCTTCAGAGTTGCTTGTGCTCGTAGTGGCAGCTAGTAATATTAGTAGTAGCTGAAAAAACGTCGTGCATGATCTTAAATCCTGAGTCAGCTTTCTTGCTTGTTGTATTTTCTTCAGGAGAGAGAGAGAGAGAGAGATTGAGAAGTATAAATCCAGATAGGCCTGTGCCGGGTACCCGCCCGTCGATTTCAAAACCCAGTTCCACTTTTCGGCCCGGGTACCCGTAAAAAAGTAAATAAATTAGGAACAAACATCCATGTATAAATTGTCTGTGAAATTTCTTACTGAAGGGTATACTTCCTGGAAAACTGTCGTGCCGCTGAAAATCCGGTCCTGCGGTCGTACATGAAACTTCAATTCGGAGATCGACAGCTAATTTTGTTACCCACTCCGCCCATTGTACCGTTAGTCGTTTTCCTAGTTCCGGAATTTTCGTAGTTCACAAAAGCGAAAAAACACTAAAATTCCTGGCGATAGGTCACTCACTTCGTGTGATTTCAAATATTTTTTAGATTGGATAGTCATATAAACCTTTGCATCTAATGTCTGCTTAATCAAAACGACCTTTTTTGAAGTTTCCGTTTTTGTTAATTTACCAAAAACTGCAAGCTTTTCCCCCTACTTGTACTTCCGGATCGTGCGGCATTACCACGCAAATTCGTTGCGGAGTTATCACTCCAACTACACGGGCGCAGCAGAAATTTCTGTGACGTAGTTGGTCAACTGTGCGGCGCGGCGAAGGTACCGTTGATAGCTCACTGCACGAGTCAGAGTTCGCAATTTCTACATTTTAATTCATTGGAATTCTAATTTTTCATCTAATTTTCTCAAAATTAAAAAACTATTTATTAGAAAAGCAACTGTTTACAATGGTTCTAGCTGAAAATGGATTCTTCGTATGGTTACTTTTTATTTGTGAAGACGTTTTTGTCTCGATCCTAAACCGATCCAGAACTCACCACACATGATGCACACAGCCTGATTTTTTTGTTCAAGACCGTGAGTTTGAACGTTGTGCTGACCTCAGTTTATCATCTAGCGAACAACATAGTAGTTTTGGTAAGTATATTAGACTTTTTGGTGGTTAACCAAAAAGTAAGGAAATCGGGAAGAAAATAAGGAAATTTGGCTCTGGGGATAGGGTATTTTCATTTTGACTGTGGAAGCACTGAGGAAAGGTGTCGTAGTCACTTTCGTCGATTGGTCCCGTGAGTCCAAATATAAAAGCTTAGATTTTGAAAAAAAATTGAAGTATATCCAAAACACAAAGTTGACTTCTGACGATATGTCTTTCGAATTTGAGGATTTTTAGCCGCAGTCTTAACAAATAATTTTCGCGATCCGGAACTAGGAAAATGACTGCACCAAACCTCTATGAAAAAGAGACCGAAGGAATTTGTCTTCTGAGGTGGAAGCGCTGTCGATGTATAGTTGCATGACTGTACTGCCTGAATGACTTTTGTGCGGAAGTAGTAGTGCTTACTCTTTGAGTCAAGAGTATTTTTGTCAAATAAAACAATATGAATGAAAATTACTTTATGTCGGGTTGACGATGGTGGACTGTGTAATATTCCAGCGGTACTGGGACTCCACACGGCGTGGGGTAAGTAGTGATCATGCACGAATTGTGCGGTTGATCGGCCTCTTTTTATAACCAATGTGCTCTACAAACCCAAAGAGTCAGAGAACCAGTTTAGTTTTTTATACCAAGAATTATGCCGTTTCAAAATTATTTTTAAATTAAAGCAACATGAATTTCCTCAGTGATTCAGCGGAACTGTAAGTGAGGAAGTGAACAAAAAAGTAGGAAGGATGTTTTCTGTATGTACAAAAGCATTTTAAATCTAAGTATTTTTTTCATTCGATAAAAGGGGCTTGAATGTTGACAGGTGCAAGTCATAATACAGTTAGCCAATCAAATGTCACTTGTCGAAGCACTTATACATTAAAATCTCGACAATTAGAACCTCAGGGGAATGGAGTTATCCTGAAAAGGTAATTATTAAACTAAACCACTTCATCGTAGTACCTTTGGCACGTGTGGCAAAACTTTTGTATCGCTTATTAGTCAAGGTGAAGCGCTGCTATTGTTTTCACTTAGGCTTCCCTGTGTGGGGTCACATGACCTTTCCTTTTGCGGTCACATGGCCGCTGCAGAGTCATCGATTGGACTGCCTGAAGGGGGCTACAATTTGGCTCGCGTTGCCGTTTGAAGCATTTTGGTGGCGGTGTTTTGAATCAGAAACTTCAAAATAAGTGGATATAATGGTGTGGGCATTGTTCGAGTTACGGTGGTATTTTTGTACATAAAACTTTAAGCCTTTTAACGTGACGTACATAGCGTAGCACCATTTGTGCACGCCACGTGCGTTCCGCGTGAATGCAGCATCCGGGACATTTCCTTTGAGCGGTTGCAGGTGCGTGTATCTTGTAGGTGGTTTGCAGCTCTGTTCTCTTTTCTGGCGTTCCCAGTGAGGATTTGTTTTTCTGTTTCATATACCCACCAAAAAAAAAAAAATGCAAACTGAAGGTAACAATTTCGTTTGATAAAAAGGTAGGAGAGATAACTCCGACGTATAGAACAATGTGCTGCTAGCTTCGTAGGCACCAAAAAGAACCGTGTTTCGGGCACTTGGTCCACCAGGTCGCGCGCAATGTCATTTGGTATGATCTCTTTTCCGGGTAGCTGATGTTAAGAAAAAACAGGTACCCGGTTCTAAAAATACCCGCAAATGCACACCCTTAGATCCAAAGGTGGAGACATTCAGGGATGTCATTCAGAGTTGCTGGTTAAAGGTACGCAGTGGTATCGGTAGGATTTTACTAGTGGGAGGAAGGCACCGGCATCTTATGGGGCACCAGCTTTTGGTGGTGTGGCTTTTTTGGGGGGCAAGCTTTTGTTAGCCTTGTTCAATATCCATTCATCGTGTATTTCGGGGGGGGGCATGGGGGAGGGGCACCGGGAATATGCCCCGCCCCCCGTGGCTACAGCCCTTGTAGATCTCTCAATTCAGCCTTTCAGGTGCTAGCTCTTCGGCAACTTTATTTAAAAGTCAAATGTTACTAAATTTAGTCAATGTATTTTAATTTGGAGGTGTTGACAATGGTACATGTACTATAATATGTTGAATTGGTATGCCCACCAGCCACGTTTTCCTTGCTTCAGTTGGACGCAGTACTCAACATACTGTCCGATGTTGGTCTACTAAACGGTAACCTTAGACTCTGATGGAATTTCAGGCTATTCATGGTGAAGGACAGCAACAGGTGGATAGGCTTGCAGTAACACCATGCAAAGGAAAATATCTCTTATGAGTATGTGTGGTTCTGAAAAGAACCGGGAGTATACTCAACGTTTCGGACTGCGTGCTCAGTCTTTGTCAGGAGCCTAAGACTCTACCGACATCAGTGTGTTTGAATGGCCTCTCGAGCAGTTCATTCACATTCCTGCTCAGTGCTTTTATTACTGCTTCCTTGTCCTCTATTCCATGTTGTCTCAAGTGGCCTCACATTGTGCAATCAGTCAATTTGTATAAACTCTGACTTAACTTCCCTGAAACAATCTTTCACTACTTTGAATTAAAAAGAAAAGGCAGTTGGTTGATGGCAGAATGATTAGCAAATTGTGTTGTAAGATCAATAGATTGAACAGTTGCACAGACAATTGGACCCAGTACATCGACTGTATATCTATATAAGTTCTAGAACGAGACGAAGTGTGAAGCATGATATGAGAAGATGTGAAGTGCGGATTACATGACTACACTTTCTAAAACAGCACTAATTCAATGCTTTTTGTTTCATTTTGAAGGTAGAGAATATGAAGCTTTGTAACATGCAGTCACTGAGAGCCATTGGCTGTCATCGAGCCATCTTTGGTATTGCCTTCATCGGCTACATGCTATCAGGGGTTACCCTGACATCTGGCATGCAGTGCTCTGGTATTCCTCCATCTTTCCGCTTTAATTGCTACCCTGAAAAAGGTGCAACTCAGCAGGAATGCCAGCAACGTGGATGCTGTTGGCTAGCATCCAAAAACCTGGACGAGGGTGTTCCCCACTGTTTCTATCCGTCAGATTTCCCGACCTACCAGATGGGCTCCCCGCAACCGACAGCATTTGGTTACACTGTGATGTTAAAACGTACCACCAAAAGTTACTATCCAAATGATGTGATGCAGCTTCAAATGGATCTTTACTTTGAGACTAGCTACAGATTACACTTCAAGGTAATTCATGACATCCAGTAGATTAATTATATTCATCTGTAAACATCCATATTCATAGATATCATGGAAACAGTTCTATATTTCATTCAGCTGTTTCTTTTTGTTTCTGAAACTTTGCCTGTTAGGTTTACGTATACTTGGTGATGATCCATATTTACATCTTAACCCTGCAGTACAGTGCATCAGGTGAAAAAGTCTGGTGCACATTGATGCGCTGAGTAATCAACAGCAGCCAAATAAACTGACTAAGTTGAGACAATGAGAGCTAATCCCATTGAACAATGCCACTGTTAGATCTTGTGGTGACTGGCAACCACAGACTCCCAGGCCGTTTGGCGTTGGGGATGAGTTGACCTGTTGGATCTTGTGGTGACTTGCAACCACAGAGTCCTAGGCTGTTTGACCATGGGGAGAGTTGACCTGTTAGATCTTGTTACACTGGGCAGGCAAGCCACTTTGACAAATGATGCAGTCTGATGTGTCATGCAGGGTATCTAGCCAAAGTTCCCCGGAAGGTTAGGGGTTACTGCAGAGAATGTGTGCATTGTACATGTACTTGTATCTCTGTAACCTTTGTGCGTATTAAATTTGTTTGATTTCAGATATATGACCCAAAGTCTAAACGTTATGAGGTTCCCATCCCTACACCTAAAGTTACCAAGCGAGTGCCATCAACAGACTACAAAGTTCAGTTTTCACGGTCTCCAATGGGCTTAATTGTCACCCGTCAAGTGGATGGTACTGTGATGTGAGTTGTGATAAAGTTTGTTATTTTGGCGGTGTGGTTGTTTAATTCCCCGGGCCTAACCTAAGTTCAAGGATGTCAAGTCTGAAACCGTTTAAGGTCTCGACTCTAGCCTAAACTCAGGTTCTTCTTCAGTCAAGAGATCACTCAGAGAGACCTAAAGGCTAAGAGAGCAGATCCGTTTGGGTGGAAATATACCACCGATAATGATGACTGTGATATACCAGGCAAGATATAGGACGGAGGGGTACCCCCCTTACCTGTCTAATCCCTATACACACTCTAGACTATTGTTACCTAACACATCTCCCCCAGAAGTCTGTGAAGAATTCCTGAGATTCCGATCAAACAATGACCAACTGACACAAAGGAGGGGGTTCTCTCCGTCCCATATCTTGCTTCAAATGGACTGTGATGCTCTCTGCCAATTAAACAATACACAACAAGAAGGACACCTGACAATTAGATTGCCGTCAAGTTAACCTTAATAACAATGTGATTTTTTCAGACATTCAACGAATAATTACTTGATTAAGTGATTAGGGATAATTTGTATTTGGTAAGCTTTATTACAACCTCTATTGCTTTGCGTGGTCTTGAGGAGAGGCTATTAGCAATACACAGCTAATATCGTACTGCGTTGCGCCAATCAACAACGTACTGACTAATGTTGCCTTGTGCAACTCATATGCAATACACAAAGCAATATCACATCACATAAATGCTATTAGCAATGCTCAACCAATGTTGCCAAACGTGAGACCAATTCAATTACCAATTACCAACGCCGGACTCAAGTAGCATTGCACATCTCTATGTCGCACTGCCTAAACAACATGGCATTGCATAGCCCGGTGTCACATGCACTAAGCACCACAGCACCATGGGCCCAGCCCAAATCTACTACGGTCCACCCGCAAGTGAACGGCTGGACCGTACAACCTGTGTATGCTACACAGAGACAGTCTGCCACGCCTAGCAGCCCTATAGCAACACACGCCATGGCGAGAGCACCAAGAACTCACGTCTACTCAGCTTTGCTGACACTTGCAGAACCTTTAAGGGCAAGCTCTGCGCATTACTGCTGACACTTGCAGAACCTTTAAGGGCAAGCTCTGCGCATTTACGCACTTGCATTAATCATGCAGAAATAAAGAGCTTACTTACCCAGATTACTACTCTGTGCCCATCATGTGTACGTGTACATCACAGGACATGTACACACGACATCAGTAATGCAGTCCTCATCATTATGCACAAACTTTCTGCTACATTATTTAAATTCGTTACCAGCATCATATTGTAACGAAATCCCTTTAATTAGGACTCCTCCAGTAGTGGCCCTCCATTCTCTGGTGATACAAAATAATTCAAATGTAAATGACTGATCTACAGACTGCACACTGAGCTCTGCTCTAGCTTATCCAACTTAACAAAAGAGTCCTGGTTAAGAAAAGAACAAGCCAAATTCTCAGCATGCAATGAGCCATGAGCAAACACAAAGAAACGAATTCTAATTAGTTGAAGGATTTTCGTTACACTATTTTACAGAAAACAAGCTTTAAGTTTAAAAATCTCAAAATTAAAATCATTTGACTGCACTCTAATCATGGAAGTCAAGTGCTATATGAAATTTAAAGGATGTCCTATGTATGTTACCATGGCAAATTCATTAGCCCTTGGATTTTGTGTCTACATAGTGACAAGTCCATGAGTTATATAATCTTTATGAAGGCGTGCCCAGCAAATACAATGAAATTGTGCATTATCAATTCATGATGGCCCTATTGTAATCTCAACAGGGCAACCGTTCTTGGTTTGACTGCATCACCGACTGTCACAGTGAGAATGGACTCTGTAATGCCAGTAGGAGCCTCTAGAATTTTACTGCACGCAACGGACAGACTTACCTTGCTACATGAACATAAAAACAACTTCCTTCCAAAAGTGGTTGCCTTTACACCCTGAAAAAGACAGAATTGCCATTCAGCTCATCTGTTGTATCAGTTTATTTGACTTTATGTAGCTATGCTTTGTGATACAAGATTTTATTTTCTGTCTTTTTATTTGCAATTTTACAGATTCAACAGTACCCTGAGTCCCTTGATTTTTGCGGACCAGTTCCTTCAACTCTCAACCAGCCTGGTCACACCATACATCTATGGTCTTGGAGAACACAGAGGTCGTTTCAGGATTGCTTCAGATTGGGAGACCTATCCATTGTGGGCGAGAGATCAACCTCCTCGTGTACATTTTGCATTGACCTCAAAATTTACACTGCATTCAAGTATAAGACAGAGGCAGCAATCATTTTCTTACCATTTCTTTTGAAATAAATATTTCTTTCAAGTGATTAACACTGACAAAATTTTGAAATATTTGAAGTCATTAAATATTGTAAATGCTAACGTATTACAAGAAGTCAGATTCATTTTGGTAATCAGTGTACTGAGAAGCTGCTATTGTTTATTCCAGGAATGGATATCCAGAATTACATCTTATTTCTTTTTAACTTAAAAGGTTACTTTTCCTCCAAACTGTAACCCAGTTTAAATTGTCCATGTCAGGCCAGTTCATAGACTGAATGATGTGCCCAAACATCCTTGTTGGGTTTCCTCAATGCAGGTTGGTGATAATTTGTATGGAGTGCATCCGTTCCACTTGGGTCTTGAGGGCAGTTCAGGCAACTCCCACGGTGTCTTCCTTCTCAACAGTAATGCTATGGGTAAGAAATATCACCCTTGACCTCAATGAGCCACTCAAACGCACCCAATCTGTTCACACCGGTGTATTCACTTCCAGTGTGTAGTATACATGACTCATTTTCATTTGAATGTGCACAAATCACAAACCTTGAGGTTCTACAAGTGGGCACTATACATCGGTCAGTCCAATTTCTCCCCAACACTTCTGAATTGATACTTGCCTATGGAGCATATTGTTGCTTGCAGAGCAGGGCTCTCATTAATTCTTTTGGGAGTGCATGATGAGATACAGAGCAGATACCATGTGACATGCTTTCAGCCAATCAAGTGAGGGAACCTGTGGATGAGAATGAATTGTTTTCATTCTCATATGTCTCATTTTTGATTGTCCAATCAGAGGTCGTGCTACAGCCTGCTCCAGCACTCACCTACCGGACCATCGGTGGGATTCTGGACTTCTATATTTTCATGGGTCCTGGATCGGACCAAGTTGTCCAGCAGTACACCGAGGTCATAGGTCGACCGTATATGCCTCCTTACTGGGGTCTTGGATTTCATCTGTGTCGCTGGGGTTATGGATCATCAAACAGGACCTTGGAGATTGTCAAACGGATGAGAGCTGCTTCAATTCCACAGGTATTTCAATTCAAAATGGGTTTTCAGGACGTAGGTATGAAATGGCCTTGCTGGTCCTTTATACAGTTTATGAGTTTTCTTGAGTACTGTCAATGATTATAAATGGGTTCGTGAAAGTTCACTCCTGTACCTCTTTTGTAATTGCACAAGTGATAAATTGATAGCGTTTGGGAAATTCAAAAGTTTTATGCTTGACCAAGTAAACGTTTCTAATTTTTTTTTCAAATGGATTCGGTTTACGTTGTATACAAGTTTGAAGATGTTGTTATATTGTCAGGGTTGATGTTTAAATTTTTGTAATCAGCAGCACTCATAAAAATGTTATTTCCAATTTCCAAACCTCTTTGGGTTTAATTGGCTTGAATTTACTTTTTGTCCTCCGAATTTGGCCAGTTTATTGAATTTCTGAACAAGACGGCGGCATAAATAAGTAACCACTGAAAATAGTTGATTGATTTCATGATGACGACCTTCAATTTTAATCTCGTCTTGACCAACTGTCTGATGGAATAAAAATACAATAGCTAGACTGCAGAATTGTCTATTCAATGGTTTCTAAGCTGGTAAATCACTATGGATACTCTGGAAGAGTGGTTGGAAATTTTTGCAGACAGGGAGCTGAATGTTTTGGGCTTATTCTTTAAGAACTCAAAGAAAAGTTTTGGTTTCTGCCTGATTGACTAGGATAGAGCAGGCACAAGCAACAAGAAGTACATTATCATCGTAATGTATCATTTATGTTTGTAACTCGCTTGCTTTTTCTGTGCACGCGTCTGTTGGATAGGACAATCAGTGGAACGACATCGATTACCTAGATGGACAAAAAGACTTCACGATCAACAGCGGATCATATTCAGGACTGCCTGAAATGGTCAAGTATCTTCATTCCATTGGCATGCATTATATTCCAATCATAGTAAGTTGAACGATAACGCTGACTATTGACGTTTTTGTTGTGTTCTTTTGTGTTAAGAGACCTTTCTGACTACCAGAATAAGAGGCCTATACTGAGATGGTAGCTCACTTGCAGGTGGTACTTATGTATTCTCAGCCTGCAGAAAGCTGCCAAAGTACCCATGCTTGAGGCGATCTTGACCACAAGTGTGTTGCCAACGCAATTGTGGCGTCTCCAGATATGTAAACCCTAATGCAAACCACTGTTGATTACATTCTTGTACAGGGGTGTGAGAATTCAGCTTTTTATCTGATTTCAGCTTGTTTTGTCCGGATGTTGACCCTGAATTTCGGCTTTTTTGTACACTTGGTCTGTACAACTTTTGATATTTTAGCTTGTTGCTAGCTGTTCTGAGCTTTGATTTTAACTGGCCACTCACACTGGTACCCCTGCTTGTACACAATTGCGTATGCACAGTTTACCATATCGATCACAGGTTAATTTATTGCATTATCCATCTTTGAATTTTTTTTATTTCTTATTCACTTTACTTGTATGATAAAGCAATTTGGTGTTTTATCAGGTTCATGTGAGGTAACGCCAGACATCATGCCAACACTTGAATCCCCACACAGCTATACTGTTAGAGCTGATCTTGTGCATGCCTGATGTCACTCATTTTGACCTGTGGCATCATGACTTTCAGTCCGACATTTAAACCTTTCCCTCTAGAGTAAGCCTTTTACATTACAAAAAGGAACAAATTGTTCAAAACTTTTTGCCCCAATCTTACACATTAGTCACTCTACCCCTTTAGGTTGTCAATGCCATGATCATGTTTTTTTCTTGTGCGTTCCTTCATGAGTTGTTCACTTTCTTGTTTTCAGGATGCAGGTATCAGCAGCACTCAACCTGCTGGGACATATCCACCGTATGACACTGGTATCGCACAAGATGTGTTCGTTAAAAACAGCAGCGGAAAGCCAATTGTTGGAAAGGTGAGAGAGCAAGACAGCATGGATGTGTACATGTGGTGTTCCTCTTATGTTGTCCTTAGACTGACGTGTGATTCTCTTGCGTAGTGATGGAACTGTTGGCACCAAAGTGAAATAGTAATGCTAAGGTTGCCGAACTGAAACTTTTGACAAAGCGACAACTTCATACAGGTCAATGGCAGTTGATTCCACCTTGTCTGGAAAATGTTAGGAAAGTTGACTTTTGTTGAGCCCTTTTTTCTAAATGTCACTGCTGCTATGCTTGGGATGCAAACAAATCACTAACTAATTTGTTGCCAACGGTTGAACTCAGGCAAATCTTGGTTCTGAAATGTCACTCGCCAACATTTCTGTGTGATTTTTGGGTCAACCTGATGAGGGCAGATTAATCGTAGTGACGTTCAACCAGGAACCTGTTGTTCACTCTTCTAATATAAATATCAATCCACTGTGCTCAGTTCTGACCACCACAGAACCACTTCTGGTTGAAAGACCCATTCTTTGGGAACAAATTCTAGGGCCATTCACTGAATCCACAGTCCCTTTCAATCAGAAATACTAGCAAGTATACAGGTTTTTCATGTTTTTTGCTTTTTCATGCAAATAGAAGTTTGCTAGTCAGTAGGCCAAGTACAGTAATGCAGTTTGTGGTTAGGGTTGCAAATTATTATAGGGTGTTACTTAAATGCAACCAATTTTGCTAAAGGTAAAATTTTTTGTGGAAAGATCTGAAGATTAAGACCGAGGATTTTTTTGCCAATGTAGATGAAACCTTAATTTATTATTTCACATTTCTCATGCTTCTATTGAAGGTGTTTCCGGGCGCAACTGTGTTTCCAGACTTCTTCAATGAGACAACAAAGAGCTGGTGGCTTGATCAAATCCGGAATTTCCACCTTAACTTGTCCTTTGATGGAATGTGGATGGTAAGTTTCCAACTTGCTCCTGTGTTGTCATCAAAAGGAATTATTTCATAAACAAATCTTATGATGTATACCCAGATGTGGCCAGATGGATATTTCATTTGGTGGGCATTAAGAGATTAGCCCAGAGTGTTATAAAATCCACCGCAACATTGCCTATAATTTCTGCTGTTCTTGGTTTTGTAAAATGCTAAACTCCCCTAACGTGCATGTGCATCAAGCCAGCTCAAGGGTCGTGATTGTCATCTTGGGTCCATCATGGAGGATTTGGGTAACTTCAAGAATAATGTCTTCATTTAATCAAATCTGTTGCTGGTTTTCATTGTTTAGGATATGAACGAGCCTTCTAGCTTTGTAGATGGTTCTGTTGATGGTTGCCCTAAGGATCCCTACAATAACCCACCCTACACTCCAGCTAGTACGTATATTTTTCTATGAAGACTCAGTTTTGAAGTATTTTGGAAGTCAAATGGTAAATTTCTGTTTGGCAGAAACTTTGAATGCTTCAACACTTCAACAATCTCTGTGGGATGGTCCCATGCGATCAGTTATGATGTGTTTAAATGTCTTTTTGGCTTTACCATTTGTGAGATAGACTCTATACCAACAGTCAGTGCTTGTGAGGTTTACATTGCTTCAGGATGAGGGTCTTTCCATGTTAATTCAACCGATTGAAATGAAATTCAGTGTGCTGAGTGGATTCCTTTAGAAACTCCCAGAACTGAAATTTTATGTCAATCGGTCAATCATTTGGTCATTTTAATGTGGTTTTTTCAGCAATAGATGGGGGCCACCTATATTCAAAGACCCTCTGCCCATCTGCCACCCAGTCCATCGGCAAACACTATGATCTTCATAGCCTCTATGGATATTCAGAATCCATTGCCACCAACGAGTAAGATTAATCCTTGGTGAAAAGTTGAAAACTCAGTCCTAATAATAATAATAATAATTTATTCATATATAAAGCGCTAATTTCACATAGATATGCTCAAATGCGCAGTACAATGAAGACATTTAGCATGGAATAATGAATATATATTTAAACATGGTTGAGTCGATGGCAAACAAGGGTGCCTCAGGTAGCCGCCAAACAACCCACGTTCACCAACACCAGTAAAGGGGAGACAGTAAGAAGCAGTTACAGTTTTAGAGGTGGGAGGAAAACCCCAGAGGAATATTCTGGGTAAAACCCACGGAATCAGGTAGGGACTGAAAACCCAACCCACATGTGGACCGGGCCAGGAATCGTACCCGGAACCACAAAGGTGGAAGGCGAGGAAAGAACTACCTTGCCAACCCATCGCATGTTAAGAATGAAATCCATTCTGTCTTGGGTGTCACCAGGACTTTTTTGGGGTGGGCGAAGCCCTATTTATTGGGGGGATGCACTCATCAGCAACCATTACGAACTGACGAACCATTAAAGTGCAGCTGCAATGAAATTTTCTCAGGCACTTTTGTGCAATTTTGTACTCTTCTTCAACATATGAAAAGTCTTTGACATTCCTATTTGGTTAAAAGCAATGAAAAGTGTGTTTTTAAAGCAATTAAAATGATCTATGCTTTCCTGGACAACTGAGGGCGCTGTTGCTGCGATATCATGCAGGGAAAACATAATTCAGTGCATAGGTCTTTTTGTCAAATTGTAAACCCTGACTTACTTATTCAAAATGTGTCTGGAACAGGAATTTATGCTTGGTTATTGCTATACATATAAGCAACAATTAACCAGCAAAGAAGAGAAAATTAAGTCCAGCAAAGCTATAAAAATGCAGAAATGTTTTGTGTACAAACCAATGTAGCATTGAAGCCTTCCTCTTGATATGACATCACAGTTATGCACATGAATACTCATTCCCATAAAAGCTAAAAAGGCAGTAAAATACCCTTTGAAACAGTGAAGCAAAGTTGAAAATGAAGTTAAATGAGACATCAAGGTGCATTTTTCAGGTTTATATTGAAACGTTGATTGCAGATAACATTTAACAGTAGAAGGGGGTAGGTTTGGAATGTTTTTACCCACATTTGTTATATTTCTCGCTGTTTTCCATTATTTATTTTTCAATTTTTTTTAAGGAGGCAAGCCCCCCCCCTACCTTCGTATTCATTCCTTTATTTGACTCTCCATTGCGTCTCTCCAGGGCTCTGATGGAAGTACGCAAAAAAAGAAGTTTTCTCATCGGCAGATCAACGTACCCAGGGAGCGGCAAATACACCGCTCATTGGCTGGGGGATAACAACAGTCTATGGCCAGACATGGCTTATTCTATAGCAAGTCAGCATCATTATGCACAGTTTGGGATCACTTAAAGAATATTCTGATTTATTTATTTATTTTATAAGATGGCCTTATTTGTTATATATTTTAGGTCACTGTTGTCCGCAAGCAGTTTGCAGGAGGGTTATCTATTTCACAGGAGGGTTATCTATTTCACAGGAGGGTTATCTATTTCACAGGAGGGTTATCTATTTCACAGGAGGGTTATCTATTTCACAGGAGGGTTATCTATTTCACAGGAGGGTTTATATATTTCACAGGAGGGTTATCTATTTCACAGGAGGGTTTATATATTTCACAGGAGGGTTTATATATTTCACAGGAGGGTTTACATATTTCACAGTTTGTGACTGTGGTCTTTTATTGATGTCAGTGATGTCAAGACCACTTCCTGATAAGGAAAATTGAGATAAGCACAAGGTGCAGTGTGTGGTACAGAGAGATTCGCAAATCATGGCAGAACTTTAAATGGCTTTTTCACAACCACAAATTGTTTATATCTATATGGAAAAGAATCGAGCAGTCAATTATTCAAGATCCTCACGGTACATGTACTGAATTTTAAGTTTCTGAAGGGAGCAGTACTAAAGATTACTCATAAATAAAAATCTTGCAAATATATATGTAATATTTGTGGTGTAAACGGTTCTTCCAACAGGCATTTTATCCTTCAATTTGTTTGGCATACCTCTGGTCGGAGCCGATATCTGTGGCTTCAACCTCAATACAACGGAAGAACTTTGTCAGCGATGGATGCAGCTAGGGGCTTTCTATCCATTCTCCCGCAATCAAAACGCAATAGGAAATAAAGTAAGATAGGTCCATTATAAGTCCACATTTTAGAGCACTTTGTTTTATTGAGTGTGTTCTAAAGACAGTTTATATTAATTTAAATTGGGTTATTCTAAAATGATCTGAAATAAAGTTATCTCCAGTTGTTGTTGGCTGCTAATACCACACCCTTTTAAGAAGTTACAAGTAATTCATTCATATGCCAAAACATGTAGTTCATTGTCCTTTATAAGCAGAATTTTGTAGAGCTGCTTGAGCATAAATTTGTTTTAAGTGTGAAAAGCCTTGCTTGATAAATGAGATTACCAGGCAAAACTCTGTGTGATGTATATTGTTTTGGAATGGTATTTAGCTGTCTTTTGGTTAGTATGACAATTACATAGAGTTTGAGCTGGTAACCTTTTTTTAAGCACAGTTTTTTCGTGCTTAAGCAATTTTTTTTCTGCTTAAACGGCTCTATGATTCTGGCCCCAGTTTTAAACGGGTAAGCCACTTCTTATGGTTGAATTAATGTTTTACCGCCCCAGATAGATGGTAAGGGTGTTCAGGGATAAATCTTAAAAATAAATAAATCTTGTTGCTCTGAATTTGACTCCAAACATTTTCTTCACAGGATCAGGATCCGGCTGCGTTCAGTAAAGATATGCAGACTTCAACCAGGAATGCTCTTCAGCTACGCTACGGCCTCCTGCCATATATCTATACCCTGTTCCACCTTGCACATACCCAGGGCTCCACTGTGGCCAGACCGTTGTTCTTTGAGTAAGTATGAAGTGTATAGCATGGGCTGTAGCGTTGACTCATTACTCACTTAAAGCTGACTTGCAAAAATGTAACACATTTAATGTAAAAAATGGAGATACTTCCAGTCTATCATTATAGTTCTCTACATGTATGAAGTCCTTTAAGAAGGTTTCTTATGCTGGACACCTGATTTTTCTTTAGTTTGACTTTGAGTTTCTTCTTGTGACTGGTCTTGTGCCTGGTCTTTTGACTGGTCTTGTGTCTGGTCTTGTGCCTGGTCCTAACTAAACACTGAGATTTAAGGCATTTTAACAATAAATGTAAATGTTTTTTGTATGTCCAAGATTCCCAGGGGATCCTCAGTTGTATGATGTGGACAAGCAATTCATGTTGGGCTCGGCTATAGTCGTCACTCCAGTTCTGGAAAAAGGAGCATCAAGTGTCACTGGGATTTTCCCTAAAGGAGTCTGGTTAGATATTTCCAGTGTGAGTGATGATTTTTGTCTCGTGTATGTAGAGACAACATGGATGCAAAACAAACATCTAGACTTCACAACATTAAAGATTGTAATTGTTTTTTCAATGGGCACCATTTTTTTCAGAAACTACTTAAGATTTGGGAACTGGTAGATTTACAAAAAAACATTCTATTTTTGTCAAGTCAGTTATCTGACCACTTTTGTGGTGCTAATATTTTGGCACATGACAGCCCACATTTCTGCCCACAGTGGGCGACAGACTGTCGTGTATCTGGTTCGTAAGTGTGACGTCACTTCGGTTTAAACCCTGCCCACTGCACATGCACTGCACATAGAGTTACATGCATTGGTTGCCGTTTATGTGGAACCATGGAAACGGAAGGATGAACCACTTTGCACCGCGGGGGACTCCTGTCGGTTTATATGGGTGGCCGGGGTCTCCAGAATCGGACACAAGGAACTGGGCCCTGTAACAAAAGACCGTACTCCGAACAAAAGACCAGGCTGCTGGGCATTGCCGACATTTTTCACTCTCAAAAGTGGAGATAATCCAGCCTTGTTTTGAAACGGTATACCACGGTTTTGGGCATTTAGAGCGAGATTACCACCACGGACAAAAGTGCTCCACCACCACAGCGATGAGCCACACACTACCGCTGCATGCTAATCTGGCCTCTATTGAAAAGAGGTCAGCAGTGCACTGTTCCGGTTTCGGGAACAAAAGAATCATACATAACACCGCACAATCTGGGTGCTTTTGACAAGGTTGCAGGCCTGGCTGAAATACTCGGGTGTCAATGAAGGTCACCTGTCAACTTAGAGCAGTGCCTAAAGATTACTGCCTGTGGCTATAAACGTGCGTTAAATGAAATGATGAATTTTTAAAGAATTTTGAAAACAGAAAAAAATGATAACCTAACATGTACCCGATACCAGGTCCCCTGGCTTGAAGTGGTTAAGTGTGACATTAATTTTGTATCGCAGTATCAGAAGCAATGATGTAATTTTTACATAGCTGAGTTTTTAAATTCTAAACCTACTTGGCATATTTTGTAGAAGACCATGAGGCCTTTTTCGGTTTCTGCTCGCACCTATAAGCTCAAATCCTTTTGAAGATGTTCTTCATGTCTGAAAGCCTCAAACTTCTGGATTTTTATTTGCCGATGACTGAAATGCATGCCTCATGATAAGTGTCCCTTTCTTGTAGGGGGATTATTTCCAAGTGGACAGCACCAAGCCGGTCTCTTTACCAGCACCCCTCAACAAGATCAATGTACATATGCGAGAAGGTCACATTGTACCTATGCAGTTACCCTCGGGGGGCAATCTCACCACCACGACCCAGTATCGCCAGCTAGGCTTCACTCTGCTAGTCACTCCCAGCATCAGGAGCCCTGGTACCGGTCAACTCTTCTGGGATGATGGAGACTCTCTGAGTAGGTTTCTCAAACCTCTAACATGCTGTTTGTCCTTGTATTACATACACTTTATTATGTGCACATGAGAAAGAACCTTTTATGATCATGACTGCCCAGAAAAACCTATCACATTGACGTCGCTTTTTGTTCTATATGTAAAACTGTATCATCTAAAACATATTTAGCTCTCATGTTCGGGGTGCCTTCACCATATAAAGTTTGCTTTCCTAGTAATGTACCCACTGAATTTCCAATTGTAGTGCAATCTTTGTTCTCCACACAATATTTCCACTTTCACTGAACTGAGCTTACCCTAGGCTGAAACGATCTTTAAAGCACGCTTGAAATTGTCGCTGTATCAGTCAGCGCGGGTATTCATATCATGTATCTGTGAGCGTCTCTCGAGGCGGATACCGTAGCATTATAAATATTTGTTATCATGATGATGTAGTGTGGTCCTTTTCTTGTGTGATAGTGAGAATAAACTTAATTGTCTACTAAATAGTATTGTCATAATTGTCATCCTTGGCAGACACATACGAGAGTGGCAACTATCTCTTGGTGGAGTTTGCATCGAATGCAACAGCGATGAATTCCACCGTGGTGCATGATGGGTATTCAGGATCACAGCCCGTCACTGTAGAGACAATCATCCTCGGCGCAGTTCCTCGCCCGGTCAAACAAGTGACAATCAATGGCACCGCTGTTCATTTTGCATATGAGAAACCACTGCTGGTAAGAATGTAAACATGCATGTCACAATTAGGATAAAACATCCAAATTTAGTGTGTGTCACATTGAATTAAAACATCATGGCTGTCATGGGCGTGTGACAGTAGAGTTTGGGGGGAATTGACTGCACTCTTGAGATGCCGCAAAATAACCCTGCTCTTTGAGGATTCAAGAAGCAATGTAATGTACGTGTGCCGCTGGGTTTCGGATTGAAGCCAAATGCATTTGATTGCTTTGCTTGTTTGTTACTGGAACATTCTTGTCATTTTCCGTTAACATTTTGGAGTGGTGTCAAGTTTTTTATTGAGGGGGTCTGTTTTTGTGTTTGGGATTAGGCTAACGATGAGATAATGCACGGACCACGGAATTCAAATAAAAGAATTCTTTCATTTCATACTTTCCATGTCAATCGGCGGCTTATTGGATTATTCCAAAATGAATTTAATTTATAGTTTCCGACTTCATTTCAGGATGTCTACATCAAAGACTTGACATTGCCCTTGCAATTTAACTTCTATGTGAAGTGGGAATACCAACCATGGGAATGAAGTCATTGGACTGGAAGTCTGGAACAAACACGACGATGGAATGGTTGCTTTCAATTTACCTTAGTGATTCATGTTCGAGTTCTAATTATGGAGTAGACGAAAAATTCTTAAAGGGCAGATGCAACGAATTCTTCTAAGTTACCATTTTATGCAGCTGTCAAATCCTCTCATGTGCATCAAAATAATTTGACATTGATTGTTTTTTTAAATTCTATTGAAAATGCCTTTCTTTGAACTTTTATACTTTATTTCAAAGACAAATGATGGCACTTGTGGCCACTGAGTTGTCTGTCTCGGAAGGATGTAGTTTGGTTGAGGGATTTTCAGCTATTGTTAAACCATAATTGCTTATTGGAAACATTTGTGAGAAAGAAAAGCTGATTGGCTTTCTGCTGTGTACTTACACATCGAATCTGTTTGAATTTTAAAACAAAAAAGAAAAATTTTGTGACAGAAAAATATCAATAATTCCAGGACCTTTCTGTGCTAAAATAGCTGTAACACTAAGGGGTTCTGACCCGACCTCCGCACTTTCACTCATGAATGAGTAAATTCACATCAGGAAAAAGAAAGTACCAAGGTGCCCTCGAAATTTCCACAACAGATATCGAAAGCAAGATTAACTAGAACACAAAGGTGCATTTCCAAGGACTTTGTTTTTTCTTTATAAATTACATGACACGTACAGGCCTTGTAAAAAAAGGTGACGACTTTGGAGAACTGATGGAGAAAACAAATTATAAATTGTATAACAAAACGCTGAGATATCACAGTGGGTAGCAAACTGAAATGATAAGTGTGCGGTATTTACTCATCTTCACTGAATACGTAACCATAAACATTATGTACCGATAAGCATTGTACATGTATTACGATAAATGATGGAAAAATCCATCCAAATGTATTTGGTTCAAATACTTGATCTTTAGGTATTCTTATTGGTTCTTATGTTTCAGTGATTTTTTTTTCTGATTGAAATATATGTATATTGGAGACAACGTCATTGAAGGTTGCTTTTGTTAATTAGGGCAATACCAAAGCCACAGTTCAAATGAAAGAGATGATCAGATCATTAAATTTTGTAATTAAATTTTCAAACTTTCAGTGAAACTGTAAGCTTGTAGTTGGCCCAGAGATTAAGTGCACTTTACTTCATCAGATGTACCAATGTGAATCTATGGGAAATAGACATAGAACATTGAGCATTAAATAAAAGCAATTTCATGTAATATCCCGTGGAAGCAATATTTCTTCTAATTAAGTTGAATTATTAAATTCTTTTGTAAGTTTGAGGAGCTGTTAAAGAATTCCAATTCAGTGTTTCTTTTAAATAAATTTCATATTCTGTTTAGTTCTTCTGTAAAACTGCCAGCCATTGATTAGAATGATTAAATAATTTGTTTCAAGGTCATGTTTACTCATTTGTTCACTCGCACATGAGAGAATAAAACACACGCTTTAACCCCATTTTAGGTCATCAAGCCACCTGGTTCCTACCACCACCGAATTGAAGGTTTGCAAAATGTCCGGTAACCTACTACGCCAACTCAACATCTTCATTCCAAGTCCAACTTTCCGGAGATGTACACCCAAACCCAGGCCCTGATGACAGGTCTTCAAGTTCCAAGGAACACTGAGCAAAATTCAAAGATTAACTGCATTTTGTATAATGCCAGAAGCCTTTAATAAACGTCAAAGTTAAACGTTATAGCTTGCCAATAAAAGTTTCATCAAGCGCGGCAGAAATAGAGCATTAATTACGTCTTTTTGTGCATGATGCTCCCACTTAATTAATCAAGCTGACTGTTTAAAAAGTAAAGGCCGTGGTTTGGAGGCGTTGCACCTGCAAAATTAGATTTCACATCCTACACACGATGGGGAACCGGGATCCGTGAACGTTTCTTTCATTTCTTGAGATGGAATAAAACAAAAATTAAAAATAAGTCGTTGTTCCTCTCCCAATTTAAGAAAAAAATCAAATGAATCGTTTCTCGTTTTACCCACTCGAGAACAAAATAGAGCGAAAATATTGTTTCTTTTTTCATGTTGAAGACGATCACAAACGAAAAACGAAATTAATCTAGGCCCCTATTTGTAATGTTTTTAAATCCCAGTTTGGTCTTACTGATTGGACTTAAATTTTGAAGTAGGATACTAGTACTAATTCCCTGACTCTCTGTACGTTTCTTTCATTCGTTTAAAATGCAAATCAAGAAAAAGTCACTTCTCGTTTTCCCATTTGAAACTTTACGGGGGGGGGCCCGAATGCCCCTCGGCCCAGCTCAGGGACAAAAACGTGGACTAGGCCCTAAATTGAATGAACCAATACGATCGTGAACAATGTCGTAATGGATCATCTTTTGTGCTTGTCGGCAACAACTTAACAATGAGACATCCCCGGCCTGACTCCCTCCCTTGGAAAAATTCATGGATCTGCCCCATTACGGGATGTGTAGAACATGGAATGTCTAAAGACGTACTTGGGAATGTTCTTTATCAACCGCAGCTTATGACAAAGATTTATTCAAGAGTTGTGTGAAACAAAATAATAACAAATCTATGGTGGCCTTGGAGGGACATGGCCAATCGTCAATATTGCCATCAATATTGCGACCAAAATTCATGACTCAGTCGTGAATACTCACCCCAATATTTACGACCGTAAAGCGAGTCGTGAATTTTGTTTAGTATTGAAAGCAATAATGACGATTTGCGATGTCCCTCCAAGGCCACCATACTGTGTGATTGGTGTTGCATAATAATTTATTATTGTTTATGTGTGGGCATGCGTACGCGCACTGCACGCGGATGGTTCAGTCTGATCATGGTCTAATAGGTGATGGTGCAACATGCCCGTCGCTGCAGACCTCACATTTCTCGTGGTATGTCAGGATCATCAGGGTCGGTGAAATCGCAAATCGAAGGTAGGCTGCATGTAGAAGAGTTCTTGTGCCTGGTGATGTTTGAAAGGTTGGGAGAATTAATGCATGGAGGAATAAAACACATGTAACGACTCTTTTCTCGCCGCTAATGTGCGTGGTATTGTTTGGAAACGTGTTGGTCCATGAACGAAAGCTGAAGTCATAACCACTTGAATGCCATGACTGCTTGAACCTTGGGCCTCGTGAGCTGCTTACACAACAAAGCTAGTGACATAAGTATAAGTTACTGCCGGATTTATTTCCAATCCATGCAATCAGGAGATATTTGTGAGGAAAACTGCACGAGTTTACTGTTTCTATAACTTTACCATCTCACTCTCATCTGTTAATTTCCTCTGAAGGAAAATTGTTATTGTAGGCCTGGGCCTGTGCCCTTCAAATTCCTTAATAATCAGTAGTAATGATCCACAGTATGTTCCAGTTTAAGTAAACTTCAAGCTGTGCCAAGTCTGCAAGTTGCTTGCAACTGTGTATTTGTTATTTAGCCAAAGGCACACTGTATAGATACATGTACACCGTAGTCATGGTCGTGCTGTGTTTATGATATACAAACAAGTGAATGAAGTGTGCAATTTTCATTGAACTGGTCCTGCATTTTTATGAAGCCATATTGGACAGCCACGGAGGAATGTACCCCCAGAACTGTGGGGTCTGACATCCGTCCCGCTCCCATGGGAACAGACGTCGGACTCCACAGTTCTGGGGGTAGAAGGAATGAACACAACAGTACAGCCTAGGGCATCTTTAGAAAATATAAGAGTGAATTTAAAAACATTTCAGTACAAAATGTTTCATCGGCCATATTTGCCTCACAATGACAATGTTACTCGTTAGCTTGGATAACGGTGTTTTGATACAGAACGACCTACAGTGGAACAAAAATATTTTAGAGACTTCTATCAAAGTTAATTGTAACTTGTATATGCTCCGTTTACTCAAAAGTTTGATTTTACATGACCGGAGCTCGTAACTGCATACCAAAGTTGTATTCACCCACTGCTAGAATACGCTGATGTGGTGTGGCATTCCTCACATGTCAACCAATTAGTACAACTGCATCGTCCAGCCTGTTGAATAATTTTGGATAGAATGTTCATTTCGTATAACAATGCCCTTAAAAACTGTGATTTTGAAACCCTGTCTGGTTGAAAAGAAAACCACTGTCAGTTGTTTGCCGAATGGCTCTCCAAGTCTACCTGCACTGTGGATCTTCTGCGTCCTACAAGATACTAGAAACACTCTTGCAAACTGCAAAATGCCCATAAGATCTCCCAACTGTGTACCCAGACTTCTCGTTTCAAAAACAGTCCTATTCCATATTTTATTGACTTATTAAATAGTCTCAGTCCTAAGTTTATTATCAACATAATCATTCTGTACTTACATGTACAGTATTTACTACAACAATTCCAACCTTGTTTTCTTACTTTCCTGGTCACTCCGTGCTTTTTTTGTATCAGTTTCTTGTTTTCATTAGTGTCTGTGTGTAAATTTTAGCCAGTACATTTTTATTTCAGATGTATTTTTTTCTATATACTTTGTCCAATTTCCTATATTTATACAGGCTTCGATCTTTACTGCGGCCACCAGTGACCACTGTCGTGATGCCCCAGTGAATTGCTGTGATGCCCTTTAAAAATAGCGCGTACCTTTCGGCCACTTGGTCGACGTGCCCCTCTTCAATGATCAGGAGGCCTATTTTAAAGTTGTATTCAACTTTCAAGTTACAATAGCACTAGCGTTGCTGTCAATGTGGTATAGCAACCATATCAATGTAGATGAGTTGTGTGATTCTAATGACATGGCACCAGACTACTTTTATACATAAACTGGTTACAGAACAGAGCACAGAATTACACATTCTGCACCAATTGGATCGTGTACATTGCACATGTTGAGACAGAGTCACTAATATTTTGGGATTGCGGACGGGAGTACGACCCAATCTATATTTTTTTCTTGCTATTTTACTGGTATTCACACGGGCACGGCATCAGGCTTCTGTTGGATAAATGTTTGAGATCCAGTGACCGACTTGCTTGAACTACATTGTTTGTAATTACATTGATTTTTGAAATACAGTGTTACCTTTATGGCATCATGAAAAGTAATCACACAACACCACATGGGAAATTAAAGAACTTTTTAAAATTCAAGCAGACTGCTCAGCATGTGAACAGAAACAATGAAAATTGCAGGTTGAAAGTTTAACACCGTGTTGAAATTGAAGGAAAGTCAGTATCAGTTCCAAATGGCCTTGGTGCCCTTTCAGTTGGCCTTGGTTTTTGGGAGCCTTCAAGGCCAAGTGGCCTTGACCCTCTGAAGCTTAGGGTTGAAGTCTGTTTATAATTTAACTCGATGTTGCTAATTGTCAGTTTTATATTTATACTGTACGTACATTCCTTTTGTAATTTGGATATTTTTAATCAATTATAACTTTACTGCAATTTGGCCTTCGGCCACGAGAGTAAAAGTAATAAATCAAATCAAATCATAAAGACTTCATGGTTTCATAAAGCACACTTTGTTGTCTCTATAAAGCAGCAGCGATTACACCAGTCTTTGCTTCGGTAGAAGGCACCCCGTACGCGTACATGTACACGCCTATCAGAACTGATCTATCCCATTTTTACCCATTGTCTCACACCTGCAGAACCACCAATTACTTGGCTATCCCATGTACATGTAGACCCACGTCTCGATACCCTCACACCACAAAGTGTCATAGTGTGATAAGTTGCCTTATCTGCTCGAGTCTGCTCGTTATATCAGTTTGAGGTATGTTTGTTTTCTCATTTATGCTACGTTAACGTCTGAGTAAATATTTCCTGTTTTGCAGACAAACGCACAAGCTTAAACAAGGATGGAGGACACGAAACAAGAAGATCCAGAATTTTGGTACACTAGTAGAAAAGATGGACAGGTGTCTGAGAAGACGACAAAATCGAGGGTGCGCTCAAAAAGTCACAGCCCAAGTCGTCTCCAGGGAAATTCAACGTGCAACTTGAACCCGACTAGTCAAATAGATTGTCCGCTTAACAGTTCTTCATGCCTGGTCTCATTGTCAACAACTGTCAGGGTTTCAAACGGCGACCAGAAAGAAGAAGGTTTGGAATTTGAGCGTCGGGAGACACCGGAAGAGGATTGCAGGAATGCATCATCGAGACAAAAACAAGGGGATACTGTCTCTCATGCAACTACGGAGAAGAAAACTTCATCCGCAAAGAGAAAAAAGAAAAGATCAAAGGCCAGAGCTCGTGATCGTGCCACCATGCAGTTCATCAAGAAGGTTCAACATGACTCTAACCCTGTCTCTGAGCAGAATACATCAGGACAGCACAGTTCCTGTAGCGACGGGGACGTGGATGACGTGAGCGGGAGAGATGGAATCCAAAGTCTTCCGTTGAACACTTCAAATTTAGACTCGGAAAAAGCCACCCCAGTGATGGCCTGTAATGTCCATCCAGAATCTGGACTAAGAAATGTCGCACCATGTTGGTCATCCAACCCTGGAGTGCACGGTCTGTGCCCGACTATGACCCACAATGCTTATGTTCTTCACTGGCTACAGCAGCAAACAGGCCCGGTCAAAAACCAGCACGTAGAGGGAACTCCGCGTAGTCTCGGTAGTCCTTGTCACCAGACTTTCCAGGCCGCTTGTAATGCGTGCAGTGGTCTGCCGCTGCATAGCAGCCCAGTGCGTCAACCGCTGCACGCGCACAGTGGCTGCGCGTGTACCCCCAGCAAGCAAGACGTGACAAATGAACTGATCGCCATGATCCAGCAGGAGGCCTCGCAGACGCCGTGCTCGTTCCAGCTGCCAGCACCTATGGTCCCATGCCAAGGTCAATCCCACATTCCCATCTCTCCGGACGCGCAGTCTTTCCTGGCAATGTTGCAGCGCCGACCCGAATTGCTAGCTTCACCCTGCAGCGTCTGTTCCGTGCAGCTGTCTCCCGGGAGCGTCGCCCATCCCTGTACGAACCAGACCAAGCCGTGTACTCCTCACGGAGGTCAAGCGTGCAATACCCCCCAGGGCTCAACTTGTCCATCTTTCCTCAGCCCGCCCCGCATTCAGCATAGCAGTCCCTATGTCCACTGCCATTCTCCAAACCTGTGTTCCTTAGAGCACGCCGCCGCGTTGTTACATCAGAGTCAACTATGCGACAGTCCAGTACGCCTCAATACCAGCAGCCTGAGAGCTAGCTACGGGAGTCCGTCAAGACAAGTGATGATGCAAAATAGTTCCGTCAACTCATCTCAGCAGATTTTTGAAGATAGCATGGCATCCAGCCCTTGCCGCAATGCCAGTGCTGACAGGGCCAAATGTGAGACCTCTTTTTTTCACTATATAACTTCACATTAAATGTTTATAAAAGTGTAACTCATTTGCTTTATGTACATGCAACCCCCATGAAATAAGTTTAGCTAGTTAACCCTAACCCTACATTATACTACAAATTACTGCTTGTAATAAAATGTAATGCTGAGCACAGTCACTTGTAAGAGGACATGACTTTACTGTTTTGTAAAGCCGTAAGATACAATAGATAAGACAATGTACCATAGAGTGCTGTGGCACTATGAATGCATGGCTTTATTGTTCCCTGTACAAGTAACAATGGAAGTAACCTAGCCAAAAGTAGTAATTTGTAGCGCTAGGTCCTTCAGGCTCAGACTATTACTTAGTATTTTGTAGTACTGTGTAGTGTAAGCCAAACAATATGCTTGGCGGTTAGGGTTAAACATCCAGGGCACATCAGCTTGGCTGCTTACTTCAGCTGGTGTAAGGCCCAGAACATGCACTTACCGATGGCTCAGAACTTGATTTTCAACAGAAAGGTTATTCTAAAACGGCACTTGCATACATACTGTATGGAGGAACAGTTAGCTTGCTCCAGATGAACGTGTACCTTGTGCTGTTCGTTTCTGAAGCTCTTCTGTGCTTCATGTACATGTAAAAAAGCTGAACTGAATTGAAGCTGTAGTGAAATTGCTCTCGTAGCATTTGACGCATGGCACATATCCATAACTCCTCCTTTTTTGTCTTTATTTACGTGTAGTTGATGACAAAGGTGCCAGTGATAACCCGCCTCCCATCGGTGTCTTCTGGGATATTGAGAATTGCGCCGTGCCTCGGGGAAAGTCGGCATTGGCCGTTGTTCAGAGTGTCAGGGATCGATTTTTCACCAACCACAGAGAAGCGGAATTTATGTGCGTCTGTGACATCAATAAGGAGAGCACGACAGTAATACAGGAACTTAACGACGCACAGGTAAAGTTCTTCACATACCCTCTGAGCATAAATCAAATATTTGCTGATTTTTAGCATTTGGGACACTAAACCAAAATAGCTATTATTTTTGTTAAGATTTTCCTTTTTTTCTTTATCCACTTTGTCAATAGGTCTTATTCACATTTCTGATTTCTCTTCTAATTGCTAATTTTGGCACAATTCTAAGTTACAAGAATTACAAACTTACAATTTACACTTCTAAGTCAAAACATTTTTTACCCTTGGGAAAAATCACAGATTTTCCGAAAACTGAAATACGTTTGCATGGTTGTATTAGTGACAAAAATGTGTTCTTTTCCTTCTCCGCCATTTTTTGCTTTGATACATTTCTTTCTGCATGATTTGTAGATACCAATTTTGTAACAATCTCTTCCAGCGACCTTTCGCTAGATGACTCATATTTATGAGGTAGAAATGTTCTATTTTCCTGTCAGGTGACCGTGGCACACATCAATGCTACAGCAAAGAACGCAGCAGACGACAAACTGAAGCAAAGCTTGCGCCGCTTTGCTGACACACACAACCCTCCAGCTACTGTGGTACTCATATCAGGTGTGTGTGTTTTTCTCATCCAAATCTTTCCTCATGCACGTGTAGTCATAGTGAATGCATGTTCACTGCAAGCCCTGATACTGCAAATCAATGTCATGACCAAGTCATATTCAGTGAGTTAAATCACGTCTCAATTATATTTCCACAACTCAACATTTCAGTTTTAATTCTTTTTTCCCAAGACAAGACAATTCTAAAGTTAATTTTTTTCCAAGTCAACTCACAGATCACAAGTCATTTTCTCAAGTCTGTCTGACATTGACACCGTCTTTGACTTTTTTTGGCATCCTTTATTGATCGTGTGATCTGCGGTGTATTGATATATCTATAGGTGATGTCAATTTTGCACGTGACCTGTCTGACCTACGACACCGTAATAACCTCAGAGTTATCTTGATCCATCGAGATGAAGCATCTGAAGCCCTGAAGGCATGCGCCAATGAGGTGGTCAGATATCAAGATCTCGTCCAGGACTTACCTTTCAGATCACCCAATAAGGTACCTGTCAAGATATTTTTTCCATCTTGACCAGTTTCTTCAACGTCGGCTTGCTTCTTTTTTTTTAGAAGTCTGTATCTTTTGGTCCTTTGCACAAATGTAGAAAAGGACACAAAGGTGTAGATGTAATAGTCAACTGTCATGGTTGGATTTACGGACAACGGGTTTTGTTGGTAGTTCAGTTTTATGCTGACGGAGCAGTTTATATTTGTAACTAGAAAATACACCTTCGCAGTATTCATGCAGGATAATTTAGCTTCTGTTTATAATGCCTGAGAAATATTTATGAATGAAAATAGACATTTTTGTAATCACTGTAGATTATTCAGTACATTTCACATCGATAATAGCACATGATTTACTTATGACACACCGTAACAAATCAGTCCCAAACCTGATTAAAATTTACTAAAAGACATCAAAGTTGTGGCCGCAAGAGATGGATGAAATCGTTGCTGTGAGTGTGACATTTCCTGTTGGAAAGTTGTGATGACCCTCCACGTGGTGCCGACTTTGCCCTTATGAAATAAGATATATGGGCAATTCCAGAAATTTGGGGTCCAACAGTGTGACATTTTTGTGTCCCTGTTACATCTGACCTTTGTTTTTGACCTGGAAATATCATTGGAATTGATTTCATACTATTACTATTTGGCGGGTAATTTGCATTAATTCATTATGTTTGGAAAGTAGAAAATATATCCTCTACTTAAATGATACCCACTGCATTAAAATGCTCTGGCCCCTGAATACGAGACAATTTAATCCGTCTCTGTTGGTCAAGAGTCCGTGTGCAATGCAGCACACAGCATACATGTATGCCACAGTGACACGCAGTCCACATAAGGAGATTCTTCTGAACAACTTGCAAAAGGACTATACCATAAAATGGATGGGGGTGTTTGGGAGAATGAAAGTAAAGTTGTAGAACAAACTTGTTGGAAGTCTATTATATATTGACTTCTTTTGACTCACTGACTGAAAAAGATATTTATGAATGGGAATGAATATGTGCTTGGCCAGTCTAATGTTTAAGAGACCTTGCTCCTGAGGAGAATGAACGCTGATAATGCCCCTCGCCTGCGACTCAGGCATTAGTCGCGTCCATTCTCCTGAGGGGGTCTTAAAGGCTAGCCAAGTACATAGTTATCCCTTTATTAAAGGATGGATTCATAACATCAGTGTTTGACACAGAAGCATCCCATACATTTGATGTCCCTTATTTTTGCTTTGCTCCAGCAAACGGCCATTGAAAGCTGCACTCTGATCATCCATAACCTTCCTTGCCGCAAAGATACCACCCAGCTGAGAAATCGTCTCAGGCAACTGTCGGACAATTGTGGGGGTAAAGTCATTCACATGTCGTACAAGAATGCCGTCATCCAGTTCCCCAATGCAGAGAAAGCAAGCAGGTAGGTAACGTCCACGTACCCACCAATATTGGTGCTCAGGGCACTGTGCCTCGGATAAAACTCAAGGGGGCGCTATTAGGTGCAAGTGCTTGACTAGAATGCATTATATAACAATATCACCTAGCCTGAAATGTGTTCAATTTGTGACTCATATGTCCATTTTTTTACTGTGACATTACAAATTTACAAATCAAATCTGTTTTCCGGTGTGTAAGTTATAGTGGCTGAGTTGTTCTTTCATCAAACAAATCCTCCAAATTTCTTGGTGGATTGTGAAAAATCTTGAAGCAGCAGGGTTCGTTACATGAATATTTGCATTACGTCGGTGGACACCACAGATACCCTTTCGTGCATAGGTAGTCTGTCATGTTTGAATGACCTTTGTACCTCTGGGTGAATTGATTGCAACATTGCCTCCCTGTGATTATACCATCCTAAGGGCCAAGATCAGACTGGACGGAGAGAATGTATTTGGTAACAAGATCTCGGTCGCTTACCCCAAGAACAAGCTCCAGTCCCGCAACGCAAACTCACCGGCGAGATATTCGAGCAAGGCGTCACCCCAGTTGGCTCAGGATTTGAACGACGATATGACAGCATCCGACAGTCGAGGAGACGATGATGCAGATTGCTCCGATCCGAAGGACGATGCCATCGAAGGACAGGATGGCCCTCAAGAAGGTATTGGTTCACATCTCAGGCTCCAGATCTGCTTTCTTTGAGTCGTGCAAGCTGCGTGATGCAAACTTCTAGAAACTGGTATCACGTTGTGCAAGCGTAGGGTGCTGCGTTCTACAACAGGTCTTTTATTGGCTTACAGTGTGGAACCCTCATTGAGTCTGAGGCCACATACAGGACGGCATATTTTCGAAAGCCAAATTAATACAGTTTTTTATTCCTCAATCAAGACAAAAAGATTTTGACAAGGGACGTGCTGTTTCCTGTACGAAAATCGTGAACAATTTTTGTCTCACTGACACATTCACTGACACATTAAATGAATTTCAGTGATAATTTTTTGGTTATGTTGTGGAACAAAATCATTAAAAGAGTCCAGTAAATCAGTGTCATGTTAACAGAGTTTGCCTGATGGTTTGACATTGTTACCTTGTCTTGGGCGCTCCAACACCCTTTCTTTATATTGCGTCCGTGTGGAGGCCATAGAGGTTTTTCACATGATGTCACTTGATGGGCAAAGGCAGTTCAGGAAAACGTTCCAAGTCTGCAGTAGCACGTGCATTCCTGGATATGCGTCTTTCTATAGGCAATTTCATGTACGGTAGAATGCCGACAGACTGAAGGTGGTGTAAATTATACACTGACCATCAAAAATCATGTGACATGTGATTTCTGTTTCAAAATAAAAATCAGTTTCTAATTTTATTTCAAGGCTGACATGTAAATTTGTTGACATTTTTTCCATTTTTGACTGCAAAAAGGAATAATTACTTAGTTAGAACATAAAGTGCTCTACTGTGTGGTTCCAACTATAGCTTGTATGGTCTTTCACATGTGTAAAACATTTGTGGGTCACTAAGACATTGTGTCCTGTTTGATTTTTTTTTCTGATTGGTTGAATACGGCCGTTTCACAATAGTGCGCCATCAAGAGTTTGCAACGCGTTGGCCAATCACAATGCACGAAATTTGTCGACCAAATGCGCGTTTGGAAAGGGTCGGCAAATTTTGCGCGTTATGATTGGCCAATGTATTGCAAACTCTTGGTGGCGCACTATTGTGAATCGCCCGTATTGTTCCTTTGTTCCTCAGAGGGGTCATCGAGATCGGACACTGAACACGGGGCCTGTAGTGAGTCTCTCAACAAGGATGGGAACTTTAGTCGGTCCAGTCAGCCGCATTCCAGCTCCGCAGATTCCCGTAAGCCACAAGCCACAGACGAGCCGGCAGCACGGAATGCCTCAGCCAGCAGGATAGCTGCAGCATTTAGACCCATACAGCACGATGCAGCATGCAGAACCGAGTCTGGTGACAGACCTGGGAGCAGCGCTGACAGCAAGCCGGTTGTTGAGATCTGGCCACAGAAAGACTTGCAAGATGCTGACGCTAAGGGTGCTGCTAACAAGAGAGGCTTCTTGCCTGTGCCTGCCTCTACGGTCTCGCTGATGAACTGGTCGTCAACAGTTGGGATGAACCAGCAGTCAATCCGACCTCAGATTACAGGACAGCCCAGCTACAATGCTGACGCGGCACCGGGTCTGTTGCCATTCAAACCAGCACCATCAGTTCAGCGCATTCCAACCCCACCGCATCCTCCGCAAGGGCAGCCCGTCTGGAACCCGAGAGATTACGAACCAGTCGGGCAGTCGCCAACATTGAGAGGCATCTACAGGCCGCCCTCACCGATGCTGGCCAATCCCATGGGTGACTGGCAGTACATGTCTGTCCAGGACTCGGACAACGGCGTCAGGAAAGGGGCGGAGTTGCTGGTGACCAACTTGGACAATAAAATGTCGCGACAGGACCTCAAGAAATGTCTCCTGGCCAAACTCAATGATCACTGCAAGGCAAGACCACAATGCCGTTAACGCATTGGCTATTTCACTGCATAGTACATTGTTTCACCCATTTCCTGCCGAGGTGCCCAGTTTCGGGGACATAGGCTTTATACACGAAGCCATGCTGCCCGAAGCTTGACAAAAGAGCCTGGCCTTGTAACAAAAGACCGCACTCGGAACAAAAGACAGAGCTGCTGGGAATTGCCAAAGTTGTCTCAGTTTTCAATAGCGGAGGTTATCCGTTATTGTTTTGAAAGATTATACCACTGTTTGTGGCATTCAGCGCGAGCAGATTACCACCGGGGACAAAAGCGCTCCAGTAATGAGTGATACAGTACCGCTGTACGCTAAGCTGGCCCCTATCGAAAAGACACCAGCTGCACGCCATGCCAGTTTTGGGAACGAAAGAAACTTATGTAACGCCGTACTAGCTGGGCTCTTACCAGGCGGTAGGCCTGGCTGAAATACCCGAGCATCAGTAAATGTTGTCTGTTAGATTAGAGTAGCCACCAGAAAATGTCCATTAAATGTAGTAAAGATTTTTTGAAGAATTTTGAAAACGGAAAATCTTGAAAATCCCACGGGTTTACGTCATGCAACTTCAATTAAACCCAGCAGCAACGGGTTAATCAGACTTCAGAAATACCTGAGACAATTAATCTTTTCCTGTTGGTTGAAAGCCTGTCACATGGCCGATCTTAAACATTGCTAGAACACAAACAGGCAATACAGACAATGTGTTCCTGCCCCAGTCTCCAAATAAAGGATTGTTTCTGACTACTCACGAGAGGAACATCCTCTAAAATGGCTTGAGCGGTGTTTGAAAAAGCAAAAGCAGAAAGTTGTTGGAAATATGGGAATTTCTTGAAAAAAAGAAACTGAAAAATTCACAGACGGAGGTCCATTCCTCAGAAAAACGAGATAAATATTTTGATTTCTGACTTCAACATTCCTGTTCCAACCACTTTGTAGGTGCTTCATCTGATCTTTGGGAGTCCGGTGCCAGGCCGTTACCAAGTTGTTGTGCGAGTACCTAGTGTCCCAGATGCCATCAGAGCCATGGCCAACATTAACAGATGTCAGATTGGCTCCAGACTGGTCCACGTGTCTCTATTAATGCCCAGTGATACCAATGCTGATAAACTCAGGTAAGATCCAATGTTTGTGCCACCTTTTGCCTTTCATCAAAAGACCTGTTTAGTTTGAGAGTTTTTTTTTTTTTTTAATCTTTGGCCTCAAGCATGATGTGACCCGCTCTGCAAAAAAGGGTAATAAGCCACACAATACCAAAACACATATGGCCGGTTCTATTTTCTTCAAAATTGCAATTTTGTGTTTTTTTTCCTGTCATACTTTCTGCAATATTTATATTTTCAAAATTTGTGACAACAAACATAGATATTGTTGAGAAAAGATGAAAAACTGATCATTCAGAAAGAAATCCTATATAGCATCGTGTTTCCAAGCGCTACATGTTATAAGCTTTTTCTTGAAAATTGCTTTTATTGAATTTGAAATGTGGATATACAAATGTCTATATATCTCCGGAAGGCAGCGCACTACAGGGGTCATTATCAAATTGTAGCTTTTGATGTACAGAAACCAGCCATATCAAAACTTCATAACCTGAATCTGGCGACGCATTACCCATTTTTCTAGAGCTGGTCGTATATCAGCTTTCGCCGTGCAAACCTTCTTCAGTTATGCGTGACCAGATTGACGTGAACCCCAACTCCATTTGCAATTTTGCAAGAATGCAGTCTGAATTTTTCAACATCCTCTAGCTTCCTCCATGTGAAATTGGATACAACTTCAGTCCTCCAAAACCTTCCATTATTTCTGGAATGTGTTCCATGGAGGGGTGACCGTTGCCTCAGTCCTTCATAATCCTGCGGCATTTCCTGTCAATGTGCTAAGGCTTTGCAAATGGTATCTTGGAATGGCGGCTACCATTTCACGCATTAATCTTGGCCTGACTTTATGCGTGGCCCAGTGTAAACGACACAGGGTTGGGTCCAGCCCAAGAGCTTGATACAAAATTAGCTACGTGTTTTTGCCATTCAACCTCAATCCACCCACATTGCCCAAAACCACTCGCAGGATTTTAGAGGATTTAGAAAGGTTAAAGGTAACGACTTGCCAACTTGAATACCAAGACCATTGTGCCATCAGCTAACCAAACTTTGTTGGAGAAACACTCTGAGGAAAATCAAATTTACTCATTACATTTTCTGCCGTGATATTTGAAAACATGAACACAAAACGGTGATTTCTTTTACTTGTTCTTGTAAATCAGTCGTGGTTTAACAAAGTTTATTTTGGGTGCCTTTGAGAGGTGAGCGTTCATGTACACTTTTATAAACAGGTATTATGGTGTTAAATGACCCTTTATTTTGATGATTTTTGTTTATTTTTCGAATAGGCTGATGATCATTCCGATGCTACAAGAAATCCCTGGAATGTGCCTTCCATTGTGTGATTTGAAGCCCTCATTTGAACACAGGTAACCACGCCTTACACGTTGTTGCAGATATAACGGGACGAATGGATGCTTTTTCTAAAACTTAGTACACGTAGATACACATAGATGTGATTTCTTATTTCGAGATTTTGGCTATTTGAATTTCCACGAAATGTCTATTATCTTTCTGTACACGCTGAAACAGTAAATACAAGAAGGACTTAATGCGTCTGTGTTTTGATTTCAGATATCGACAGACGTTGTATGTTAGCGATTTGTATCAGATACCTGATACGGTGACGATCCGAGAAACTCCGATGGGGAAGGTGGTTGCCTTGACAACTCAGAGCAGATCCAGCACACCCAATTCAGGGATTCATTCACCAGCGGGGAACCAGTCACCGGCGTCCTTCCTCCCTCTCAAGTACGTAGCACGTGCATACACCCTCATGTAAATCTTTAAACTCATACACAAATTTTGTAATGAACAACACCTTAGTAAACCCTGTTACGTGATTGGTTGATTGTCAATCACATGCTTGTGTAATTAGCAGTCTATTGGTGATCAATGCTATGCATGTGATACGCACTTTGATGCACAGTTATGTCTCCAATATTGATGGAAATGGACTAATTCAACAGTACGCGGCGATAGACTTAACCCCTTGACGACGGGAATTTCTTCCCGAAAGCCGACTCCAAGAATTCCAGCCTCGCTTGGCCACGAAGGCCACCTGCCAAACCGCAAATTCTCGGTTTGTGGCCCAGCGTGCTCTGCACGCTTTGAATTACACAGTGAAAAGGCTGATTGTTCGGTGGCATGCAGCTCTACTCACCGTTCCACATTCCCGTTGCCTCTTTTCAAAGTGGGGACTATTGTGAGGCTGGTGATTATGATGCAAATTCGGCCTTTTGATTTCTGGGCTACACACAAAGGCCAATCACCACATACACAAGAGCCAGGGTCTGCCTTCTTTCACCGTGTTTGCTTGAGCGTGGGCCGAGAATAATAGCTGAAAAGTGGGCTGAGGATCTCAATTTTTACGGCGTGTCTTAACGCGTCCCGGCATGAAGGGGTTAAAACAGGATGTCATGTTTGTATGTGCACTTTTCCAAAGGGCCTGTATCCTCCCCCGCCATAGAAAAGCACGTCACGTGAACAAAGTGTGGTGCTATTATATTATAGGTCTATTGCATTTGTAGTGGCTGGCACATGTGCATGCCAGTGTCTCGGCTAGCCACGTCCCGAGGACAGCCAGAAAAACAATTGGACTGGTAGATTATGCTCATACCAAATTTACAAGCCCCCCATCTTTTACAGACATCTTTAATACTGGTTAATAAGTCCTCACATTTCTTTCGAAAATACCAGATGCAGTGGAAATATTGTTTTATGTGAGACCAAGGGGTGTCAGTTTCACACTTTTCCTGGGAGGGGGCACGTAGTTTATAACCTTGGCTGGGAGGGGACAGGCAGATATTGCATTCCCAGATAAAACTCTGCATAATGTAGGTGCAGTTTACCTGTTTGCATTGTTGGGGTGAAGGCTTTGGCCCTCAAGGCCGAGGTTTTGACCCTGAAGGCCTGGGCCTGGACCCTGAAGGCCAAGGCATTGACCCTCAATGCTAAGTTTATGACCCTCAAGGCTAAGGCGTTGACCCTTTTGTCTTAAGGCTAATATCAAGGCTTAATCCTTGAGGCAAATGCTGTCTAGCATAAACTTATTTATGCAGCAAAGATGTTTTGCCCTCCCAGGTCTATTATGGTAATAAACTGTGATGGTGTAAGTATGAAGGTGTGCAAATTTCCTCTTCCGTGGTACAACATGATTAAAACATAGCTCACAGCAAACCCTGAGTTGTGTGTCTGCATAACAGCAAAATGTGAAAGAAATTTTCCTTGAAAATCCTAAAATCGATTACGAGACATTGGTCCCACAAGGCCAAGACTTTTGCCCTCAAGCCTTAAGGCTAACGCCAAGACCTTCAAGTCGAGCCTCAAGGCAGCCTTAATGCCAAGGGTTCAGCATCAAAGGCACTGCATCACTGCCTGATTGTTTGTTTGTTAAATTTGTTTGTTTTTCCTTTTTTTCCAGAGAGCCTGTGCCAGAGCCCTGTGAAGCCTTCTGTTCCGTGCACGATTGCCAAGACTCGCTTCAGTACAGGAACCTGACTCAGGATCCATTTGTCGTTGTGTCGGTCAGAACGTTCGCTGCCCAAGTTCACACGCTACTCCTGATGCACAACGGAAAGATACCTCTTGTCAGGTAAGCGGACATCTTTGCCTACCAGTAAAGATAGTTAATATTTGACAGCCAGCACAAGTTTGAAGGAGACAGTCCCCAGTAAGTAAGAAATTGAAAGGGAAAGTTTGTTAATAGGGGCATGTAAAATGAGGTCTCGTTCATCTTGAAGGCTAATGTCGGAATTAAATTTGGTCGGCAATCTTTGCTGAGTTCAGAAATGGTCAATGTTGAAAAGACCCCTCAACAGTCGTTGAGCTAAACTTTAGGCCACTTGAAAAAAATAGTTTAACATCAGTTTTATTTGCAAAAACGAGAAGGAAGGATTTCCTTTTTAAAAAAAATACTTTGGTATGCATGCTGATCTGGACTGCCGCAACCACGGAACGAAAGCGCCATGTTCACTTCAGACTCATGCACAGAAGTGCACTTAACATTGTGTGTATGTACTCAATGTGCATGCACGAGGTTGTGTTGGCATAGTAGAAACTACGGGGGACAGCTAAGCACACCAGAAAAGACAACTTTGACAGAAGAAAAGAAACCCCACGGCAAGATTTTTTTGGTTGGCGCTGATACTAAACTAACTATTTTTTATGTGGCCTTATTAACATCACAGTGACACAGCAACAGTTGCAAATGTTCTATCTACCCCCGGCCCCAGTTGTTGTTTTTTTTTTTATCACCCTGTTGAACCTGACAGAATCCAACAGTCAGAATAAAAGGCATGCTGTTCACCGCTCACATCAACAAAATCCCACAGAAAGAGCCCCTCGTCAGATATCTGTGGATTTAGCATGGTTAGGGTTATTAACTACATCTGGCTTTTCTCCACGCAGTTTTATGGTTTGTTACGCTGCTGAATTTGCCAAGTTGACAGAGGACTATGAGGACGGAGTACCTTTGGAACATTCATTGACTTGCATCCAAGGTGTGCGCGTAGGAGTGAGTCGAGATGGCTACAAAACCGTTTGTTGGGAGCAGAGCAAACCAGAGGCAGAAAATGGTAATTTTTGCTGCAGCAGTCAAATATCACATATATTTTATACACAGTAGTCAATTGACAGGTAAAGTTTATGTGCATTAGTCCACTGTCAAATTTCATGTACAATAGTCACATGTCAAATACCTCTTATGTGTGCTAGTCAAATGTTTTATGTACAATAGTCAAATGTCAAATTTATCTTGTTTGTGGTATTCAAATATCAAGTGTGTTTCACGTACAACAGTGAAATGACAAATATATCTTATGTGTAGTAGTCAAATGTCAAGTAGGTTTTATTTACAATAGTCAAATGGCCAATATGTCTTACCTGTAGTAGTCAAATGTCAAGTATGTTTTATGTAAAATTTCTGATCCTGTGGATTTTTGTGTGTTTTTTAAAAAGGAAGCCGAAGCACGACTCCTTTGCTGCCTCCACAGTTATTCCAGTTCAGCAAGGAGGTTGTAGAACTTCTCAAGCATACTCCAAGATGTCGACTGGCCTTCTCCAAGTTCATCCCCAGCTACCACCATCACTTTGGTCGCCAGTGCCGCGTGGCCGACTACGGCTTCCTAAAGCTCATAGAACTCTTTGACGCAATATCACATGTGCTGCAGGTAACNCCTGCTTGTGGTTTTTAATCCTTCAGCTCTATACAATGTTTACACTAATCCGCTTAGACCCCTATTTATCTGTGCAAGCATGTTGGGGGAAGCCTTTCATCAGGGACTTTGGAATGCCAATGTGCAGACAGGCCTTGTACCAGCCTGGAGTAGCCTGAATACCAGCCTGGAGTAGGCTGAATACCAGGCAGGCATTATACCGGGTGGGCTACCGGGGGGGGGGGGGCCTTTTCAAACCGGGTCTAAATGGTCGCCGTCCCTTATTACCGGTCATTCAGAAATACCTCTGACAGTCTGTCGTTTGTTGCTGGTCAATAGTGATCACAGGAATGGTTTGGTGAAACTAGCAGCAGGTTATGAATACTTTCCGATTTCGTTTTAAATTTTGACTCGGAATTGAAGTGCATAATGTAAAAGAATGCTTGACCTCTGTTGCATTTAGTTTGACCTAAGGGTTTGTATAAAACTCCCAACCACAGGACTTTTTTGTTTTTGGATCAGTTTACTTCTCTAGCTTGTGAGAAGTTATTGAAATAAATGGATGTTTTTTATGACAGGTACTTGGAATAACTGAAAATAAACTGCTCACGTTGACGCATCGGACACAGGTTAAACGTTTCTCCCAAGACTTGCTAAAAGTGCTGAAATCACAAGCCAGCAAACAGGTCAGTTCTGCTCCTCAGTGTGCGGGGACTTTTTGTTGTGTTTGCGCTGGTTTTCGTTTCTTGTTTCTCGGTTAGTTTTGTTTTTACAAGTAACCTTGAGAAACTCGATTTTTCCGATTTTCTCGTCGACACGATACTCTCTGAGAGAGATTTTGCTGAAGTGTTGAAACCTTAGGACATTTGTGTTCTGCAAGAGTAACTGACAGGTGATTTCAAGAAATAAATTCTTAATTTTTGCCAGATAACTTTCCAGGAGTTTCCGTCAGCCTACCTGCGATGCTTCAATAAGCCGTGGAAGGTCACAGATTATGGAGTGTGTGATCTCCAAGACTTACTGACGGAGGTTCCCGAAACCATGGCCATGGTGAGGAATGTTGATTTTGGCTTTATTTTGCCAAACCCACCGGGATATTTTAGCTGTAAACCCTTCGGAAGGCAGAAACGCATAATGTACAATGCCATATTGGCTGGAGAGGGATTGAAGTAGTGGTCAGTGTCGTTGAAGCAGCCTCGTGTGCGGAGTGCTTTCCGTGCTGTTACTGTGATGCTACTTGAAGCAAACTGTTTTAGACGTAAAAAGTAGCTTTTTGACACATTTGCGCACTGTGTCTTGACTAACAAATGCAGAGAATTGATCAGGAAATCGAAGTTATCTTGTTTTATGACCAACCCTTGTTTCCATTCTGGCTGATCATGGTCTGGTTTTCTTGTGATACAGATAAATTGGAATGGGGACGACACCGTGGTCTTCATACCGAAGAGAGGTAAGCGAGCTCGAAGCCTCGCCAGGTTTTTGCAGAAATACCAGCGATTGCATTAGAAGAGATGGACATCATGAAGGATACTGAAGGATGAGACGATTGCATTGAGACTGCTTGCACAGTGTGTTCTTCCTACAAGCGGTCGCTAAAACTATGACTGGCCATTGGTGCAGAAGTGAAAGAACAGTTCATAAAGTGTTCAAAATCATTGGTAGCTATTGGCTCCCATACAAATTCCAGGCAAAGTGAGAGCGGTCTTTTTGTAGTAAACATTTGACAGCAGTGCATCCCCCCCACTCGAGGCCTGTGCCCCGCCTCCCATGGGCCCCGGCTCAGAAATAAGAGAAGGAAAAAAATCCGCTGACGGTCCGTGTTTCAGTGGTGACCAAACCCACCGAGTGCCCCCCCTCGAGAAATGAAGCCCCTCCCCCAAACTACCCCTCCTGTAAAATGTACCCCAGCGATGCCACCGCTTGACACATTTTGAAGTTTGGGCTGAATCGTGTCCCATTTCCTCTTGGTCAAAAGAGCAAAACAAGGAGGAGCTGATCCGCATGCGCAAGTTCAGCCGGGAGGTAGTTGATCTCCTCGCCTGCCAGCCCCGCCATCGCATCCTCTTCTCCAAGTTCATCCCCACCTATCATCATCACTTCAGTCGTCAGTGCCGAGTCGGCGACTACGGCTTCAACAAACTCCTGGAGCTGTTTGAAGCGATGGAGGACGTCATCCAGGTGAGCAATACGTCAAGGGCTGGTCCTCATGGACAGAGTTGCATATTGTATATCGCATGCTGGGCTATACAATAGCACGGGCAATCTCTTTTTGGGCTCTTGGGTCGTTCTGTAAATTCAGCGTCCAAAAGCGTGGCATTTTTGTGTCCCTGTTACACCTGACCTTTGTAATTTGCATTAATTCATCACTCTCAGAAATAAGAGAATGTTGCCTCACCTTCCAAATTCGTATGTCAGATGTGACAGGGACACGAAAAAAAAAAGGACCCCAAATTTATCGCGTGATTCTCGTTTGTTAAAGAGATACTAATCGCAAGTTTGTTCGGTCAGATTGTCAAAAGCCAGGTTGTGAGGTTCCACCCCAGATCAATATTTGCTGATTGGACTCAAAAGGATTTCATTTAACACAGTGGAGCTATGTCACATGTACAAGACTTGTATTTATTGCATATTGGAATGACCACTTCAACTTGTAATTTACTTCCTGAATAGCAGAGTGGGGCCTCCTGTTAATTTTTGTGACTCATGGCTCCCAGGGTCAGGGGTTTGAATCCAACTGCTGTCCACAGGTTGTGTCCTTGGGCAAGGCACTTTACCCCTACTTGTTAGCGGCCGCTCTCCGCCGTGGAGTAAACATGGGTACCAGCATTAGCCAGGGAGCAAATTGTCATGGCAACCAATATAGGGAGAGAATAGAAATATTCTCGATAGATTTATGGCAAGAAGATTAGAGATTAAGTTCAGCTTGATGAGCCAAATGGCTCAGACAGACTTGATTATTACACATTACTATCATAGATTCAGTGAAGACCACAGAGCTGTTCTAAATTCCTTGGTACATCCATTTTTGTGCACAAACCTATGGAAAACTTTTACAGCGTTATATGGCAATTTGCTTATCTGTGTCTGCATTCTAAAATGATGCCTCAGCAGAGCCGACGACCCAAAAATTGAAACGCACAATCAGTGAATGAGCATTTGACGCATGCGCATATGCACTTCATATGATTTTGACTGAGGCCGTGTTGTGCGTCGTAACAGTAATAAAAATACGACGTACATTAGTTGCGTGTATTATTCTTGCACTTTGCACTTTGACAACATTGTTTGGAATATTCCATCTGATCTCGTTTCGTTCTACAAACCACGTAAACTCGAGCGTGATTTCAAAATGGCAGCCCCCATAAGGCGTCAAAAACTTCACTGCATCGGGAAGGAGGGGTTAGCAATCTAGTAATTCAATTCGCAGTTAAGCACGAAATAAGTCATACCCATTCCAAATTCAGGTAACATTTACAGCCAAAAGACCATAGAATTGATAACTAAAAGCTTACATCTTTGCCCAAATGAGCTTTTGCAAGGGAAACACTAGTTTTTGTGTGCCTGGGTTGACCGTCACTCAAGTTCACATGTTTTAACAAAATAGCAAACCCTTACATTTTTTAAAGGGTACAAATAATTTTGGGCTCAACTGTAGCTCTTTTGTAAATACTTTTTATCAAATTTTCACTTGGGAAGGCTGAGTTATTACTTCATCTGCCAATTCGGGGCTTATTTCTGTGATTTTTAATCCTTGTATCTATCTACACGTTTGGACACAAGGTTGAGGAACAAGGGGACGAACGCGTAGTCATACTGACCGCGAATGAACAGCTGGCTGTCGTAGCTCATCGCACGTCGGAAATCCTACAACGGAACCGTCTCCACCTCATCAACTTGGGTGTGTTCCACGATGTTTACACCAGGTGCTACATGTACCCAATCTGCCTCAAGGACTTCCATGCCAAGAATGTGCAAGAGCTGCTGGCTAGATTTCCTCATGTGGTTGAGGTAGGTCGCATTCGAATGATCGTCGGCGGCACCCAAAGTTTCGAGACCTAGATGCCCAGTGGGAGAGGCACTGTGCGACATTATCTCCTGAAGCTAACTGGTACTTCAGTTAACCGTTGTTGACAACTGTGATGTTGGACATGAGGTTTTGAACACCCTTGGATATGTCTAGCACCCTCAGCTTCACCTGAAGTGTTCTGCATCCCTTGGGCCATTTTCCAATACTCAACTTCGGCTCCGTCTCAGGCTTCAACTGTTTTTTACTACCTGACTTTGAAGCCGTAAGCACACTAATTAGACTAATAGTGCTACAAAACATCAAATAAGATGCAAGAGAGCAAAAACTTACAGTAATCCAATTTGATTTAAACGCTTCAGGCCCACAACCGGGGATTGATTTCGGGGATGAAGCCTGAGACAGAGATGAAGTTGAGTATTGGAAAACGGCCCTGGGTTTCCAAAATCTCATATCCCCCATCCAGCAGTCAGCGATTGGTTTTTTGTCATATATCCATCTTGATGATTTTTTTTATTCGCTTCTGTTTCCAAGGGGAATTAAGGGTAATAAAAAATCTTTCAACAGTGATGGTTAGCGGTTCCTGCATTAACCTGTAGACATCAGGGGCGCACGTTCCTGCATGTGTGCATGTGCATGATATTATACAATCCTGACTGATGTGATGTCTCATGGTGAGGGTGACATGCTCTTATGTCACCTTGTCACGAGATCATTCTGAGCCAAAGAAAAAAAACGGTATTCAAGGCGGGGATGACAATTTACAGTGTGCCATTTATGATCAGTTATTTTTGTTGACAATGGAGGGTTTGCATGGCTGCCATCTTGCAGGCCAGTGCTTTTGTTCTGCTGGGTATGTGCAAAGGAGGCTTCCCTGTGGGACAAAAGAACTGCCCTGCATGATGGCTACCAAGCAAAGCTTCTATTGAGGTTTTAATAAGTCCAAGGAGAAAATAGGCCCAGTACATGGTGGTAAAGCAAGAGGGACAAGGCTGTACACCCATCATGCCAGGCCAGCCAGGGTGCGTGTTTGTATGGGCCAACTCTGCCAACTCGGCACAGAGAGTCAGCAAAGTTGAACATGACTCAACTTTGCCAACTGTCTGATCTGTCTGGTCAACTCTCTTTATCTTTTCATTTCCATAGTTTGGCAGTGTTATTCACGTAGGTTTGTACCGATTTGACTTTGTAGGTAGTCAGCGATGGTTCCATAGAGCGTCTGCATCTGGTGGAGAAAGTCCACCTCAGCCAGTTGGCACAGCAGATGTTGGTGGTGCTGTTGGAAACGGAACAGGGGTACCTTGCTATCACTGATGTCCAAACCGCTTATCGCAGTGTCTGGCACCAAGACTTGATTCCCATTGAATATGGGCACAGCAGGCTGGTCACGCTCATGAAGATGCTTCCGTACGTCCTCAAGGTAAGACCCTCGTTTTCTCCTAGAACAGGCTTTCCACAGTCATGGAAAATCCTGTGGAAAAAAGATGTCCTGAAGTCGTGGAAAAGTCTGGGAAAGTTTGGAGAAAATAGGGTGTCCTGGAGTCGTGGAAGTCATGGAAATTAAGATCATGCAAGGCTTAGTTTTGATGGACGGTGTTTGATGCAGTAACGAGATAATGATAGATTTACAGGTTATCCTTGTCAGTCCGTGGTAGTGGCTACGGCAGTCTTCCAGGTCACCGTTACCAACCAACGTTTCTCTATAAAATGCCATTAAATGCCATGGACATTATCATATTTTAGTTATAGAGAGTCCTGGAAAATCATCGAATTTGGCTGTCAGATTTCTTTGGGAACCTTGTGAGAACCAGCCTGCGTAGAAAATGTACTCAAGACACTCGTACTCATACTGGCAAATACTTATACTCAAATGTCAAAAGTACTCTAACTCAGCAAAGCCTTTGAAGGCAATTCTGTTGTGTGACTGCTCCTTTGTTTATCAAACTCACTCTGACACAATGCCTTTGGCATTTTGATTCAACGCTCTAAGAATGTCTTCAAAGTACATTTCCATTTATAATTGATACTTGTTGCTCCACCTGCTGTGAGAGTTGAGCATGACATCATCTTGTGAGCTTTGAAAAATTTATACTAAAAAATGTGAGCTAAACAGAGGCAAACAGTTTAAAAAGAACAAATTTTTTCTGTCCTGGATATCGTACTTGTAGATTATAATGTTTTCTCATGTACACAGAAAATGTTGGCTAGTATTCGAGAAGGTGTAAGACCCTGGCAGACATGAAATATAAGTAAGCACCCTGATTCAAACAAATTACTATTTTACTCAGGTACAGAACGAATGGTTGGATGACTGCTCCGTGGAACTGACCCCAGCCCACCAGTTTGCGCGCAGGGCCCGCTACGTCCTGATCATGGATAACCGGTTGAGCATGACCCTTCAGGAGTTGGTCACTAAATATCACCGGCTGTATGGAATGGAGCTGCAGCCGGCCAACTTCGGCCACAGCACGCTGACCTCGCTGATTGAAACGGTGCCCAGAGTCCTGTCACTAGTCAACAAGGGAGCAAAACGAGCCGTGACTCTCAATCCGAGTTGCTTAGGTAGGGTCAAAACTCAAAGTATGTCAATATCAACTCTTTGTAATGCATTGAGTGTTTTTTTTCTAGAATCTGTAGTTATTTGAAGAAAGTAATGTAATTCTTTTAAGTGTTCTGCTTTACCGCCAGTTCCTGGCTTGCAGATGGACATGGGGAAGACCAACTCTTTACGAAGACTAAGTGATCAGCGACTGTCCTATGTTAAAGGTATGTAATTGAGAAACGAGGAGTAACAAGCAATATTTGGTCTGAACTAAAAGTGAAGTTGTTGAGCTGATCGTGCACCCCTCACAATTTGACACACTGTTGGGGGGTGAACCTTGGGGTATGTATGAGCGACAACCAGGTCTTGACTACTGGCTGATTTTACCTGGTGCCCAGGATTCGTTTGGTGCAGAGGTTACCAGGGAAGATCAACCAGTGGTCCACAAAAGGTCATCATGTGAACTCACCCGACATTGGCGACTGTTATCGGCCCAGTTCAGGGAGTTGGTTTTGATTTTTTTCAGTGACATGACCTTCCTGGTGAGCCCTCGCTTGAAAGTTTCATCCAGTGCAGAGTGTAAAATCTTCATTTCTTTCTGTCGGTGTTGTAGTTGAGCCCAGCTTAAGTCCTCATGAGTCCATCACATGTCATCTGGTCTAAATTCAAGTCGCACACTAGGCAAATTATTAGCTGTGGCAAAAACATTCCTTGGTCATCGTTCACGCCGTAACTTACGCCCGGTCTTGTAAAAGGACTTGTGACTGGACTTTTGGAAAGACTTGTGGTGCTGTCGACTAGAACACAGCTTTCTGTGCTACATCATGAACAAGTTCTTATGGGTTGGACTGATTCTTGTAAATTCTAGTGTTTTGTGCCATCTCTCCATTGCATATTATTTGATCTTTCATGTACTTTAGGAGAGCATCCTAGACCGTCATCTACCCCTGTGGAATCAACCAGACCCTCTAGTTCACCGCGGCTAGTTCCTTCGGCATCTGCCCAATCTCTGAGTAGCCCTTTGGAGGCACCTCCTATCTCATCAGGTATTTTGCAATCACCCGTACACTTCATCTGACAAAAGTGCGTCTCAGCCTTGCTTCGTTCATGATCTTTCTGCACACTGATGCCAGTTTTTTTATTGTAGTGATCTTCCGCTTTTTTAGGAGCTAAGACTACCTTCTCATACTTTCCTCCATGTAGATACAATTCCGCTTTATAAATTCCCGCAACTTAATGTTAATACAGAAAATCTTTATTTGGATTAGATGGGACAAAAACCAGTCTGTTGTGTGTCTTACACTCTCCCATTTTGCGTGAAGTCTTCAGAACTCAATTTTCTCAGCTGTGGTGTTCGTTACTTGTATAAAATGCAAAAAGAGTAGATTCAACTTTCAAATGTTGAATTTAGTTCCTAATGTGTTTACAACCTCCCATTTAAATCTAATGTTTTCCAAGATACGCTCTACCGATCTCAAGGTTTGCACATTTTGAGATGTTGCCCTGTCCTTATTTGTGTTCCATTTTTGCACTCATGGAAGATTTCTCAAAAGAGAGTGTATAAATTTATAACCACCTGTTGATCAGTAAAGTGGAAATTAGTCAGAAATACGTCACAAACTTTTACAAAATATTTTCAAGTAAGATAGAATTGGGGTGTTCCGTGCAAGTTGGGAATCTAAAGAGAGTCTTGTCTCTGGATTGGAGCCTGTTCCTCACATTCTTGCATCCTTAAAGTACCACTCACCAGTCTACTGCAGCCAACTTTGGAAATTTTGATCTAGTTGTGTGTAGTGGAGAACGACAAGGCTGTTGATTTATTTGACCATTGGCTGACTAATGTCGTCATTCAAAATGGCAGCCTCCTCAAAAGAAATTGCTTGGAGAAGATTCAAAAGGGCAAAGCATTTTTTCCCCTGTTGGTGCTTGAACAGTTCCGAACAAAAAGGTGCAGCGAACCAATCTACACTGCTGTAGAAAAGAAAAAAGTGATGGGTTGAATATCTTTGAAGAAAAGAGAAAAATAGCTGAATGGAAATTGATGTGAATTCCTCCGCGATTTCATGTCTGATCACAGATGCATCAGTCAGCCCAGCAGTTGTGGAGAGATCGTCATCGTCGGCAGTCTCTCTGTCCGACAGGAGAGAAGAATATGCAACACCTCCAGAGAAGTCAAGCAGCGACTTGGAAGGCCGGACTTTGAGCACCCCTTGCGACATCTCCAAGGCCTCACGACGACCCGGTACCAGGAGCCGAGGACGCTGTCAGCTGGCCGCCAATTTTTCAGTGAAGGGAAGCGAATAGGTTCAGCACGTGTAAGTAAATACGACAGTAGGGCTGTTTGGATTCCGAGGTCGCCATGCGATGCACGTCACCGTTCGTACCTTGCACTTTAGTTATCTCAGTTATTTGACCTGTGGTCATGTTTTGAATGTTTATAAATTGTCTTCAAGATGTACATGAAGTTGAGGTTCATGTAATGAGAAAGTTATTTTTCTACAGTCAGTACTGAAGTGAAATTTGATTGCATTGCCGTCCCTGAAAATGTCAACTCTGATTGAGAGAGTTAATCGTGCAAGTTAATTTTTTGGCCCATCAGTTAGTCATGTGTTGGGAATTAAGCCAATAGTTAAAGAGCACCTCTGAAGAAAACAGGTTTTCTCTGATTTTATCAGTTCAAATAAATATGGAAGTCTCCGAATTGAATGCAGTGTCATTTGTCGTCAGAAATCAACTATAACAAGTTAAAAAGGGCTCTTTTGGGAGGTTCATGCCAAGATGCGAATTCTGAATGTACATGTAGATTGCATCATTCGGAGAAAACAGAGAAAATGAGGGGAACCCTCGCCCTGTGTTTGTAGTGGATAAACCCTTGTGCGTGCCAACAATGCCTACATGCATTGTTGGCATGCATAAGGGTTTATCCACTACGAAGACAGGGCCAGGGTTCTTCTTGTTTTCTCTGAATGATGCAATCTACATTCAGAATTCGCATCTCGGCATGACAGGAAAAAAAAAAGTTTTTAGATTGTTATAGTTGAGCTTTGAAGACAAATGACACTGTGTTCGATTTGGATGCTTCCATATTTATTTGAACAGATAAAATTCGAGAAAACATGTTTTCTTTAGAGGTGCTCTTTAAAAGAGACTTGCATGTGGGCATGTACATGTGTGGTTACTGCTCGTAGACCACCAAGTTAGGGCGTGTCGTTCATGACTTCTGCAATGCTTGCTTTTTTTGGGCAGTATTGAGGACATTTCATTCCATGCGTTCATAGCTGGGAATGAATCAGATCACGATAAAGGTTAGGACTCTTTTCCTGTCTAATTGTGGCAAACGTTGATACTACAGAGATTTGGCCTATAAGTACATCGGTGAACCAGACAGGCCAATGAGCTCATGTTGTATTGTGATGGTAGAGGCCGTGTTTGTTTCACATGGATCAGGATCAAGATCAGCGATTCGTCATTGGTTTACGGACTCCAAAAACCTGTTTAGTGGATGGTGGGAACCAGTGTTCGAATCACTGATCGAGATCCAGATCCGTGTGAAACAAACAGGCCTATGAACAACAGTCTCTTTGCCTTGATTGGATACTTCATGGTCACATGACTTTGCTGAACTTGAGTGTAAAAAACCTACCTCTGTTAATTTATTCGAAGACAATAAAAGTGCTTATAATATATGCACGCATTATTTCTATTTGTCTTGGTGCTGATGATAAAAATTTATAGGTTTATGGTTGTCATCAGATATGTCACAATGGTACCAAAGTATTTGCTAGGATTATATCGTTTACTATTCGTAGCTTCAAATAAGATTTTGAACAAGCTTTTTGTCCTGGAGGTTGCCACTTAACTCTTACTGCCATAACTTTACATAATAGCTTAAAAGAACCCTGGATCATCAAGGGTATGCATGCACAGACATACAAGAATGTTAAGTTCTTCCATTACTGTGACAAGGTCCTTATTCGGTGTTGTGGCAAAAGTAGAGGAAACTTGCCTGCGTCCAGCAGCTCTCCAATTGGGTTCGATTAATCACGTTGAAAGATTCTGTCAGGTTGTTTTGTGCAGCCAGTCTAAATTTGGAGCCGCCTTGCGGAGAAAGAATGACGAATGTATTTGTGTACATTTACCAGTAGCAAGAAGTTGTCTAAGTATGAACGCACTGGATCAAGAAATTGATCTCGAAGATTTGCCTGGATTTGAGCAAAATGATCCCAGTGCAGGGTCGTATCTCACATCTCAATGCAGTCAACAGGACTTTCCAGTAGCAGAGCTGTACCCATTATGCTGACGGCAACTGTTGGCAAGTAATGGGCTTGCCTTGCTGGAAGAGAGGACAGCGAGCCCTGGCTTCACAAAGTAAAATTTTGTGGAATTGAACTCCTTTTGTTTTGGAGTAATGGGAGACTTTGAGATGCTTTTTACCCAGTTCTGAGCATGCATGCGTTGTTCTGAGCGTGCGTGCCTCGTTCTGAGCATGTGCAATATCCTGATAATGGACCTGTATGTCTGCTGCCACCAGTGTCTCAAAGTCTCCCATTGAGCAAGTTTTTCTAGATGCAGGGAAGTTTGATATCAATGCGTTCCTCAAAAACAGGATTGAATATGATACTGTGTAGGTCAGAGTATGTTGGTTGGAATACAAAATACGTTCAGTTCGGCTCCACGTGAAGCAAGATGTTTCACTTTTGTTTCATGTTTTAACTTTACCCTAGTGAATGAATTTGTTCTTGGGGCATTACAGAATGATTTATACATTGTGTGTATAAATTTATTTATACACAAGTAGAGGTGCATTAAATTGAAAGAATGTCTGTTATTTAAATGGTAGCCGATTATTTCTGATTAACAGAAAAGAATGTTAATGAAAAGTTTAAAATGCAAGTCAGGCATTGTCACATATTAATTTGGATGTAGACAGATCACACATCTACGAAGCGTAACTGTTCAGGTTTGCCTTTGAGCTGCATACTCCCTTAGGAAATTAAATTGTTTCAGGAATGTCTGTAGGCCTGATGAGCAGGGGTAATAGTGATGTGTACACCTGCTCAGGACGGGTGGATATGTGTGATCAATTAACACACAGCACAGTACCTTGTGTATGCTCTTTGGAATTTTGAGAATTTTTAGGGAGATGAAGTAGACTTGTCAACAAAGGGGGCGGGGCGGGGGGGGCTTGGATACGCATCATAATGTTCCAGGGAGGCATACCTGAATTACGTGTATGAAAACCATTGAAGTGGTTTTTCTGCTCAGTCAACCTCAGAGTTACCTTTCCCAGTGCGTTTACAAAGTTCTAAACCTTTTTTTCCCAAAATGAAAAACTGTTGAAACTGAGAAGTTGCCATCTGTAGATCTTACCCTAACAGGCAAGCGTTTATTTCAGCTTCATGTAATTTTTAATTTCCTGGAGAAATACTATTCCAAAGGTATTCAATGATGCTTAAAACTCGTATAGGTCAGCGTTCTGAGTAATTCCTACTCAATTGAGTAATTCCTACTCATTTTCTTACAAAACAATGGAGACCTCTCAGCTCAGCGTATTGCTCGTTTGTCACAGCATTCAGCATTGTGTTGAATGCAGCAAAGTTCTTGGCATGGGGTTGGGCCTTGGTGATGTTACAATTTTACTATGTTGAGTTTTTGGCTGTTGTTTGTGATATATATCTAACTTGTCTTCCTGCCAAAGATGTAGGGTGTTGGAAATGTTTAGTCAACATGACGATATGCCAAATTGGATTCACGGAGTGGTTTGTGGCATTTGGCCTTCAATAAAGTCTATATTTTGGTCAGTATTGGGATGATTGCTAAGGATCCTAGATATGGACCTCAAACTGTGCACTAGTTAATTTTGTAACTGGTTTTGTTTGCACTGTAAAGATATCTAGAGTTTATTGTTGCAATCCTTATTTTGCCGTTTGTTTTAGAAAGGAACAGTTCTTGTCTGGATTGCTTTGGGCTAAAAGAAAGCCTTCTTGAACTCATCAAGTACATTATTATACATTATGCCATATGTTACATATGGAGTTGATCTTGTATGCAGATAAATGACAGTTGTCAAAAAATAAATTTGGTTTTGCATTCCAAAGTGCTGTTTCATTATTTTATTTGCGATTTCAATATTGTATTCACTAGGCTTCGGTTTCATTAGACAGGGCTGGTGTGACCATACATACAACAAAGGAGAAATGCACAAAATGAAACAACAGCCAGGTGCTACTCAGTTGGATCAGGCAAAACAAACAGGAAACCTTTTTTTTTTAATAGTTCTGAACAGGTATTCAGGTTTACTGACTTTGTATTTTTCACGTTACCAACTTACAAAGAGCTTTGGACAGCAATATCATTTAGAGTGTCATTAGCAATCAACTAATTTTTTTATCAGTAACACCGTCAAATTTTGGAGTTTGAATCAAAACTGTTAATCACACTTGCAACCAACTCAAAATCCAAAAAGTTTGTATTCTTTGAAGCACAATTTTCATTCTACTGAGGTATTGTGTGCAGTATGTGAGGTTATAAATTTCACCTTTTATGCTTATGATTTATGCAAACTCCGATGTCACTGTAAAGTCATTTTTCAACTCAAACAACGGGAATTTTGAATCCAGCGTGAGTCAAGTTTGGTCAGAACATTTAAGTTAATTGGTTATGGACAGGAGGCTGAGCATTTGAACAAAAAGGAAGGTCAAGGGTGTTGAAGTGTTAGCAAAAAGGTCCTAGACCAAACATTTCTATTCCTGCTTGATCAGGGTAGTAGTGGAGCCGTGTTACTCAGGATTGATTTTACACTGTTTTTCAGTTTTTACTGCACTGAGGGACTCGGGAAAAAACCTTTAGCGCAATACTGTCCCTCTGAAAAAAAAATGTAATCTTATGAAAATTGTGCCCGGCAAAAAAGCCGACATTAGGGGTAATGCCGACATCAGTAGTCTTCAGAATTTGATTGGTGATGTTTGTGTTTGCAGTAAGTGAGATTGCTCCACATTATGGAAGCCTGTTTCCAGTGGGGTGAACAAAAACTTATTGGCTTCAACATTTCAATGGACATTTTGTGAAAATTACACTTTCTCAGAAGGAAGAAAAATGATTGAAAATGGAATTAGTTTGTGAAAAAATTTCAAGTGCATCCTGGCACACTCCTGACTAAGCTTTGTATTCTTTTCGTGACCGATCTGAAACAATTAACTTGACCAATTTCTTTTTCTCATGTTCATTTTGAAGTTTAACATTCAATGTTGAAAATATGAACAAGAACACCGGAAGTAACCACAAAAAACTAACTGGAGCAAGGTAATGTCTGTCGTGGAACATTTAGAAGCACTTGCGATGGACAATGCTAGGCCCAGATTCGTCATACTCTTGTTTACTGATCCACATCTGTTGGAAAGTGGAAAGTGAGGCCAGAATGGAACCGCCGATCCACACGGAGTATTTTCTCTCAGGAGGAGCGATGATCTTGATCTTCATGGTGCTGGGTGCCAAGCCGCTGATTTCTTTCTGCATCCTGTCAGCAATGCCGGGGTACATGGTGGAGCCGCCAGACAGCACAACGTTGGCGTAGAGATCTTTACGGATGTCCACATCGCACTTCATGATGCTGTTGTAACAGGTCTCGTGAATGCCACACGCCTCCATTCCTGAGAAGCACCAAACAAGTTCCAAGGTTTAACTTGATTTCAATCTGGGGAGCATCGTGCAACTTGAGCTGGCGCTAATGGCTGAGCGTGTAAAGATTGAATATCATAAATCTTTAACCGCACTTCAATGCTGCTTATTCATAGTTTTTCACTGCAATCATCAAGGCTCCCCTTCAAAAATAGGCAATAATACGGGTAGATTGTTTGGTATAAATTCCTTAGGTGACGTTCGTGGATGTGGCCTTTTCTCTTTATCTCTCATACTGTTCAAGATCTGTTATGTTACAGTGTTGAATAAAGGGCTTCAAAATCCTCCGCAGGGACCCAATAAGCCTGCATCTTTGTGAAGCCTCAACGAGCCAGGTTATTTTGGTCCATGTCACGGCCGAAGACTGTGCCAAGTTTGATTTGCTTGAAACTTTTCTTGAAAGGCTCAGCTCCTGGAAAAAAATGCACTATGGCAATATCAGAAAAAACGCCGAGGAAGGGGTTGACAACAGCCCCCCCTCCCGAGCTCTTTTAGGGTTAAGTTGTAAGATTTAACTGCTGCGAATTGAAGACTTTAACTGTTCCCATATCATTTTCAAATACAGACTTACAAAGCAGGCAAGGAAGATGCCTTTGCAAGCTGACGAGGGCGGTGTATGGAAGCCAGCGTCAATAAATGAGACAGCCAAGATTGGCACAACCCAAGAATGAATGTGTATTAACATTGTGATTTGTTACCGATGAATGCCGGTTGGAACATGACCTCTGGACCTCTGAATCTCTCATTTCCAATGGTGATAACCTGACCATCAGGAAGCTCGTAGCTCTTCTCAAGAGCTGAGCTAGACACGGAGGTGGCCATCTCCTGTTCAAAGTCGAGAGCGACGAAGCACAGCTTCTCCTTGACATCGCGAACAATTTCTCTCTCGGCTGCAAAATGATTAAAATGTTTGAAACATCTCCTAATTCATCACTGTTTCGGCAACGCACAGATGGGGACCAAATTGCATTTCCACAGTGTAAAGTCGCAACTGATTGAAATAAAACTGGCCCTGCATCAGTAATTCCCTTCTTGCCCCTCTCAACTATCATCCCACCCCTTCAGAGAAGTGCACCAGTCCGGCAGGGAATTTCAATAATTCTTTTGTTTAAAAAGAGAAGCCCGTGTGCAAGGCATCTGAAACAGCCATGTGCTGCTGCTGCAGGTTGCTGTGCTAAGCTAGGAGAGTTACAGGTGAAAGACTGCAGGTTAGTTGTCTGGGCACTGCAGGAGAAAGCTTCACTGTTGTGACAAGGTAAGACGTAAAAACAAATACTCAATCCCCCTTAGGTTGGAAGTAGAGATGTAAATGCACTCACTCTCACCTTAACTCTTCAATCCCCATGACATGACCAAGCCCTGCGGTTGGGTATTTGTTCCTGGTTCGTATTTGTGTAAAGCTGTTTTAATTGCCTTGTTTCATCGCACATGACTTGTATCGTTAAAACTATAGACTGCGTGTATTGGTCCTAGTGAATACAGCAATGTGTTTCAAGCCTTTAAGATAAAATTTGTCTACTCTGCACAATCTTTCATTCCACTAAAGGTCAAATTAACAAATATTCCCGATGCGCATTAAACTATTTTTAAAATCTGCGTCTTTGAACTGATGGAATATGGGAATAGCATTTTCTTCAAGAAATAAAGTTGACTTTCCAATTTCTAAGATTGGCCATAAATATTTGCATATGTTAACAACTTTGAAACTTACAAGATGGAACTTTGAAAGTATCCAATATGGTTTCAATAAAACTTCCGAACCTGTTGTTGTGAAGGAGTAGCCTCGTTCGGTGAGAATCTTCATCATGTAATCCGTGAGGTCCCTGCCGGCTAGGTCAAGCCTCAGGATAGCGTGGGGTAGTGCGTAGCCCTCGTAGATAGGCACAGTGTGGGACACGCCGTCCCCAGAATCGAGCACAATACCGGTGGTGCGGCCAGAGGCATAGAGAGACAGCACGGCTTGAATTCCGACGTACATGGCCGGCGTGTTGAACGTCTCAAACATTATCTACAGAAAAGGAAAGGTGAAAAAATTACAGATATCCAGTTTAGGTTCTTCTTTTCAGAGTCACTTAGATTTTTAGGTTCCAAAGTTGGTTTATTGTGTAATGTAGGGCTGTGTTCCAATCTTGCAGTTGAATGTTGGCAATAGGACCAGTCATTTTTAAGCATATCAATTGTTTGCCAACAGTAATTGTGGAACACATCTACAATCCTCAACATCAATGGTGTCATTAGTAAAGTTTATTCAAAGTGTATGGACTCTCTAGCACTGACGTACCCTTTGCAACACAACATAATTGCAATGCAACACAATGCTACAAACAAATGACTGTGGCAATGTCGATAGTTGATGTTGACGATTGTTTTGTACGTGTTCAATCTGCCGAAGACAGCTTCTGTGCATATGTCACCTGTGTCATTTTCTCCCGGTTGGCCTTGGGATTGAGCGGGGCCTCAGTCAGCAGCACCGGGTGCTCCTCGGGAGCCACCCGCAACTCGTTGTAGAAGGTGTGGTGCCAGATCTTCTCCATGTCGTCCCAGTTGGTGACAATGCCGTGCTCGATGGGGTACTTGAGGGTCAGGATACCTCTCTTGCTCTGAGCCTCGTCACCTACATAGCTATCCTTTTGGCCCATGCCAACCATCACACCCTGGAACAAGTTAAGTTGTTATATCTCTTCTGGTACCTCTGTAATGCATTTTCTAGTTAGAGTTGCATTGTAAGCTGTAGATTAGACACTGTTGGCTCTGTATTTTAAAATTCAATATCTAAGAGGTGTGCCTGTAATACATCAAAATTCTGGATCAAGGTACATTTAAACACAAATTATCAACCATCATTATTGAGGGACTACTCCATTATCCATCCAGGGGGAAAAGGTTCCCACCTAGATTTCCCAAGGCTTTCCAATAGATTGAGTCCCTTCTAGTGATAACTCACAGACTTGAGGCCAGGGGAGCATTCAGCAAACTTTCAATAATGTGCTTGGACCCGTGAAAGATTTTAGAAACAGGGGACAAAGCCTGATGTTATTACCTGGTGTCTTGGCCTTCCAACAATGGAGGGAAACACGGCTCTGGGGGCATCATCACCAGCAAAGCCACCCTTGCACATACCCGACCCATTGTCAACGACCAACGCAGCAATATCGTCGTCACACATTTTGAGGAATTAGAAACACTTGCTTCTTGGTTGAATCACGTGACACAAATCACTTGAGCCTACAATAATTAACACATAGAGAAAAAATGAGTTTTACTTGAAGCCCCATATGCTTTGTAGAAAATGCTTTAGCCTGGCTATCCTTAAGCTTAGATCTAGGAGTAGAAGTGTCTTCAAACTTGACATTGAGGAAAAGACACCTTCGTTCGGTGTTCACAGAATTTATTGGGGCCTAAGGCAAGAATTTTGATTGGCTAGGCAACATTAATTCAAACTTTCCAATTAATTTAATCCAAAAGGTAGATCAGCTAAGTTAGGCCTACACGCGAAGTTTCACTCAGCACTGCTCACTGAAAAGTGAGACCTAGGCCTACTCAAGTGAGGTTTTGTAGTGGACGAATCTCATACTTGTCCATGTATCATGTGAAAGTCAGAGCAGTTAGTATGGTTAGAAAACGTAAGAGCCAACAATGAAACTTCCTGGCTTAAACTTTTAAGGGGCTATTGATCTCATCAAGTCATTACATGAATTATTCTCGACTCGAATCGGACTTGAGTCACCTCAAACATAGAGCATGGAACAGAATCAGTTAACCTGATGAAGTAGGCCTAGGGGCCTACTGCCTACTTACTCCATGACGATCTGATTTTCGGCATGGAAAGTAGGCCTATCGCTAAGTCTACATCATTTCCACTTTTTGAAGCCGTCAAAGAAAGATTAACAGACTAATAATGAAGCTTTCAGAAGCCTCAGGGGTCTAGCCTTAATAAATTAAGCCTTAGGCCCGAACAGAGAGCCTAGTATGAGTAGGCTACTGGTAAACTTCGCTTGCTTTTTGCGTGGCCTCTTTAACGACAGAAAGACAGACGTCTAATTTTCACCCTCCAGTGCAAGATCACAACAGGGAAAGGCCCAACGACAAATGCAAGGAATGATTAATTGTTTGAACGTACTTTCTGTCATGTATTTGACTGTACAAACCCACTATAAACCAGTAAACTTACGTCAATATCAGTAACCACCAGACCTTTTTCTTTGTGGATTGAGCGAAGAGAACAGACGCACGTTACGCGCACTGTTGCTACAACCGCACGCTGGGCCTGCCGTTCATGCAGCGCAGTGTACGTGTGCGCACATAGAAGTCACGCGCTTACTCGATTGTGGCCATTTAGTTCACGGGTGGAGAAACTATTTAAAAATCACTATTATTTCCCCCAGGCACTTTACTGAATAAATACAGAGAAAAGACAGTTCTTTTCTTACGTCGATTGTACTAGGGTCTATAGAATCCACAGCTTCTTGTATTTTAAAACAAAGTGTTATTCCAAAATTTTTTCTATCATAAGCAGGCCCACCCTGAGAGAAATGAACCGTTCCATGTACTTTCATCACCGTATTTGGTAATATCTAGGAAGGATGCATTTGATTTGTCGCAAGTTCCACTGGCCACGCCTTCTCCCTCGCAACCACCGCGCGCCGATTATTGTTACAGTGTCCCATTGAGATCACTTTGCCTGTCGCTAAATCCCCAGGCGTAGCAGGGATACCTTATTTTAAAGACAACGCACCATGTTTTTGAGTTTTTATCTGAGAGTGTTTTCTTTCCTTACACGAGGTGTTATATTTTTGCATGACGTGCTGATACACTTCCTTAGAAATGTTTCGCTTATTGATTTATTATTGGAATTATGTGAATTACATTTTGTACCGCAGCACATGCTGAATATCGAACAGATAGACCTCTTTTACTGTAACTTTTAGTTCGCGACTCGATCAAACGTAAGGCAACTCCTTTTCCAACCACATTTAATTCGATTAGTTTTTAGAGGTTTAATATCATAATCATCATTAGCAAGCGTTAAGGGTTTTCTGCCCAAGGCAAATGCTTCCCGGACTTCGTAGCAACCCGCGTAAATTATTTCTTTCAAGTAAATGACATGTACATGTACGTAAATCCGACCCCCACGTAACTGAAAATGTGTACGGTAAACGAGCCCCGGTCACAAGTCTAGCACCCAGACTGCATATGTATCAGTTTTATTCCAACTGTTTTTGCGCGGTGTCTACAGATCCCCTTCATAGGACGCCACCTAGCGCGCCTGAGAACCAACCCGTGAACCAACACGCGCGCTTTCTTCATGCATTTGCACCAAACTTCTCAGTTTAAATGACGTCACGCCTCAATACTCTATAAAGTCATTCACGCGTGAGCATGTACAACTTCGACTGATTGCAAGAAGTCTGCAGAATGACGATGGCTGCCAAATTTCCTGATTTCTTGCAGAAACAAAGCTCGATTGATTTTACATAACCAGTTCAAAAAGCAACGTCATTCGGGAAGAAAGCCCTACACACTGATAGGGTAGACTTTACGTGCGTGCAAATGACCTGGGACTGGTTCATTATTGTAATTTTTTTATCTATTTATTTTTAATTTTTTTTTAATTTGATAGCCTGAGATGAAGGGCTTAAACAGTTGAAATGTATTGTCTGTGGAATGAATTCATCAATTTACATGAAAATAACTTTTGAATGGCAAAACTAGAGGAACAACATTTCCTGGAAGGGGCCACTAGTCTTGAGGGGGACAAATGATCGGGCTAGTGGCAACACTCTTCCTCTGCCACAGGCATTCTCTATCCAGACACAATGCCGTGCTACATAAATGTTGCAAACTACATGTCTGTAATTATGGGTATTCCTGACCGATTTCATTTGTTTACGCAATTTGATTTATTTTTTGTACACTTTGATTAAAACGTACATGTACGTTATTCCATATCACGTAGCTTCAGGTTCCAGAAACTGCGCTGAATTGTTTTTTTACTAAAGCATGAGTTCTATTTCATTTTTTGCTATCAAAGTTATTTACTGGTTACGAAGTTCCTCCGAAGGAGTGTGTTTTAGTTGCTTTCTTGAACAATGTATTTTGATCTTCAGTTGAATCCCATGCACTATTGAAAACTAAAATCAGTTTAATAGTATTGCATACTCAGCATACTGTGAATTTCTATACACGTAATAATCAGAATATCAAACGGAATGGTAAAGCTGAATAGGGAAAACCTCATCTGTGTTTCAACGTCCAATAACTGGTACGACGAATGGGGGGGGGGAACTAACTGGCTCCTGGCGTCCCATGCCATGTGCTTTTCAGTGGATTTTTTAAGAGATACGTTCTCCCCTCTTTCTCTTTTTTTTCTGGATCGTTTGAGCTCCATAAAACAATAATAATAAAAGAAATCCAAAGAAGAAGAAAAATAATACTGCCGCTCGTTTTCTCAGGTGTAGCCCGTCTTTTGGCACTCCCCTTTAGGCTCTAGTGTTTTCAATATGCTGGATCTGTCACTTCCTTGCATATAGGTTTACACCTCATGAATTTTAAAAAGTAACTCAACGTTCCAACTTCCTCAAAGTCACGCAACATGTTAATAGTGGCAAAACAGGGATGGAATATCTCTGGGTATATGATGGTAAGTTTGTTTCCAAGGGAGGGGCACGAAAAACAAGCTAACTGAGATTTTTTTATAGGTTATAGTCAAGACTGGAATGGATGGTAGGCATTGGGGGACATGTTACCCTTTATTTACACCACAAAGGGTTATGACACATTTTGAAATTTACCAATTTTTAATGAGGGCGCAAGACATAAATCCCCCTCAAATCTGCGTCATTTTAAGAGCTGCAGTGGGCGCCATTACTTGCATGCTTATCCGTTCTTAATATCAACAGAGGGCGCTATGAAGTTTCATTGCAATTTTTTAGGACTCAGCAGAGGGCGCCGTATCCAAATTTTAAAGAATCTCCAGTCAAGGCCATTAGAGGGCGCCGTTTGTATTGTCAATAGGGGGCGCTGTTTATTTGATCGATAGCTGGCGTTATTTATTGGACTGAATTAATCATCGCGGCCCGGGCGCGCGATCAAGTTCTTTCTCAGAAACGTGTAGGCAGGCCTATGCACCACTAAAAGTGAGATTTTCAGTAGGTAAGCATGGGTATACACATTTTGATGTGAGAAGTGAATAGCCGAAGGCGGTTGATCATGACGGAATTTTTTAGTAGAGGTAGGGCCATGCTGATGACGGATACCGCATGAGTGATTTTGCACAAACTAGAAAGGCAGTGTGGGAAAGAAAAGGGGGCAATGTTTGCTCCCTTTTCCTTCCCACGGTGCCTTCTACCATTGTATAAAATCACTCATGTTGTATCAGCAATATAAGGCTAATATGAAAGTTTCACTATATAGCTGACCTGCTAACATTAGGGTAGAGGCCTAGATCGTAGGGAATTTCTCACCATCACTCGTATGCCCAAAGATTTCGCTGAAGTTTTTCAGGATGTTGTTGATGTTGTTATTATCTTCATTAATTAAAACAATTAAATTGATGTGATTTTTGCTTATTGATACTAAAACTCGGCGTGCTCACAGCATGCAGCAAACAAATGGTTGAAGTGCTCATCATGTCATGTAGAAGGTCATTGTCAACAGTAAGACAGCTTTACCAATTACAGCTGAGCTCCAATTGGGTCATTTAATTTTCCTTTCATTTTAGAATACCTAGCATTGCACTGTAGTTGGTCACTTTCATTTCGTCATTCAGTGACTGCGGCTAACCACGGGCTGACGTATTTTTATTGAGTGGACATCCTCTGAAACCTTGTTACATTTGTTTAGCATTTACTGGTCTTTGGCAAATGGAACGTAAGTGTTTTGTTTCCAGAGCAAATGCTGTAACCATGGTAACTCTGTCTCTCCCGCTTCAAAGTTGTCTCACTAGCTCTAGTGCCAAGAAGCGTACCGTCGGGTACATGTCAGAAACTTGGCAAGTGTGTCCACTTGTAAGATCTAACCTTGAGAATTTTGTTCACTCATTTGCATAATTTTCTTGGAGGTTTGTTCCTGGAATTCTGCATTGCCTTGGTGCCCATGACACAACGTTGGTTCACGGTTAGAAAGGAACACACTTCTGTCCTGAGTTGTGCATATTGAATGATAAACAGACTCTTCAAGTTCATTTACTGACCAGACCAATTAAAATGCCACCAAAAGTACCAGTCTGAAAAACACATAATTAACTGCCATGTCTGCCCTTAGCAGAAGCATCCTCTCATCGGTTGAAAACATCCATGTTGGTGTAAAGTTTTCATTTTGTTGGAAGTGACACAACCGTTATGCATTCATTTTATAGCCGTTTGTGAACCAGCAAAGAGCAGTTCCTACCAGAGGAGCCTGCAGTGCTAGGAAAATTGCGCCCTCTCTTGGTCCTGCTGGGGGTTCATAGTTCAAGTAGGATTAACTGTATTAAAGCCCAAACAGACATCCATTTCCTGCGTGTCAAAAACAAAAGATTTAACGTATGTACCTGTTTGTGGTCCTTGGTCCATTTAGCTTGTTTGTTTTTAATCGTTTTGGCAAGTTATGTGGCCAAAACAATTATGTGGGGGGGGGGCTTGGTAAAAAAATCACCTTGTGGTGTGTCAGCCATATCTTTCACAAATGAAGTATTTCTCATTTAATACTTCGTCTTTCTGTGCATCATTACAGGTATGCTGTACGCTAGAAACTCTGCTTCCATATGTGATCAACCAAGTTCCAAGCCAGAAAAGTAAAGTTTCTATATCTCAAGGTAATCTACATGTATTTCTTATCGTCAGATCTTTCCCAAAATAATGCTTATCAGCATCGTTTTTCTTTAAATGCATCGGAAGAATCCATGTCAGTAATGACACTAGAAAAAGAGAAATTTTGGCTGAGATGTCTTCAGAAAACTTCTTCACATTACCAAGATTACCACTTGTCGAATGCACCAGAATTTTTCAGTGGGCTCATGTAGACTTTTCGATTTTCTTGTACCGCAAACTTTTTGACGTATTGAAAGAGGAACTGCTTCTTTTTTCATTTTCAAAACAAAAAATCCATTGTAAAACTACAACCAAAAAGAAGTTTGCAGTCATTAACATTTTTGATAAACCTTCGTAGAAAAAAGTGAAATAAAAGTGTTAAAATGCAAATATTGAAATGATACTAATAGGGTAATTATTCGACTTTAATCAATCAAATGAAGTTACTTTTTTATTCCTTGAAGCTGATTGGTCAATCTGATAGCAACCCCGGTGAGATATTTCCAGGGTACTTCCAACAGCTTCCATAATATTCATTGTAATTCTAGATGTTACTGGAGTTCAACAATTGGGAGGTGCTTCATCAAAATCAGTTGTGTGTTTGGACAATTATTTTGCTTTGGACTTTCACATCACGTTCACTGAAGAAAAACTTCTTAGAGCTAAAATGCTTTGGACTGACAGTGTCATTGGTAAATCCCCATTTAATTCCCCTGACAAACATTTCTTAAATTGGAACTGGGAATGATCCATGTGCATAGGAACTGTCACCATTGTCTCTTAGTGATGCAAGAATTTGTCGAATATTCTTGGCAGCTTCAAGTGTATGGCACTTTAGAAGTGGTCTTCCTTGAGCCTGGATGTTGAGGATGTGTCTTTATTTCTGCCTGGATGTATGTGTAGATATGGAGCCCAGTTTTTCCCATCATTGGTGAAAGGATGTCACCCGCTTTTCTCTCCCTGGCGAGGGAATGTCACAAACTTTGCCCCTCCCCTGGTGAGGGGATGTCTCTAACTATGCCTCTCCCCTGGTGTGAGGATGTCTGCCCCTCCCCTGGTGTGAGGATGCCTCCATCTTTAATTTCATGAAAGGTACAGTAAAAGATTTCAGATGTTAGTGTTCAGCGTTTTCATTTTTTGGTATCATGAAATTTGTTTTCTTTAGTTACAAGTCAGATATCCATTAACTTCTTTAAAAGAAATTTTATATGAATTGTTTTTTCTCGCAAATTTGTTTGTTCCTGTTCACATTCTGAATTTTTGAACTTCCTGAACATTATTTTGACTAACATTTCCATTTCAAATTTTATTTTAAATTTCAATTTAAGGTTGTCAGGTTGGCAAGGTAGTTCTTTCCTCGCCTTCCACCTCTATCTGTGGTCCCGGGTTTGAATCCCGGCCCGGTCCACATGTGGATTGGGTTTTCAGTCCCTTTCTGATTACGTGGGTTTTACCTAGAATATTCCTCTGGGGTTTTCCTCCCACCTCTAAAACTGTAACTGCTTCTTACTGTCTCCCCTTTACTGGTGTTGGTGAACGTGGGTTGTTTGGCGGCTACCTGAGGTGCCCTTGTATGCCATCGGCTCAACCATGTTTAAATATATTCATTGTTCCACGTTTAATGTCTTCATTGTACAGCCCATTTGAACATATCTATATAAAAATGTGCGCTTTATAAATGAATAAATTATTATTATTTATCTTCTGTAGTAATGCCATTTTATTTCTCAGTTTGAGGATATTTGCTGCCAAAGTCGCATACATGTATCTAAAATATCCCACTTGAGAAAGGTTCTTGCACAGTGTGAGAAATTTGTTATCCCACCAGCTGTAGCATAATGACTCGGTACTGAAATCAGGCACAAGAGTTTATTTTCATTGTTGAATGGCGATAGGAATTATCACAGGGGTGTAAGAATTCAGCTTTTTAGCTGATTTCAGCTTTTTTTGTTTAGTTATTGACCCTGAATTTCAGCTTTTCTGTACACCTAGTCTGTACAAAGTATGGAAACCTTTTACATTTCAGTGTTTTGCGAGCTGTTTTCAGCTTTCATTTAAAGTGGCCACTCTCATTCCTGTTATCGGCACAAGTCAAACCTGCCTGTAGATTCAAACTCCCAAATTCAGACAGTTTTTTGGGGGGCATATTTCTCACAAAAATGACTCACTTTTAAGACCTCCCCGGTTCCGAGATTGAGAAAGCAGTCAACTAAAGATAATCAGAAGAGATGCAGGTGTAACAGGTCCACGTGTGTTGTCTCGTGGTTCCCATAATGGTTAAAGGCGCATAGATTTACCCGAATTTAAAACTTTCCCTTGACACACAAGATAACTTATGCAGTCATATGCAAATCGCCCAGACGATGCACAAAGTTCCAATATTCACCGTAGCCATCTCAGGATTAAATAGTTTATAAATAGCTTGATCAGTGACCTTTTGACCAAGATAAGGATTCTGAAGTCTGAAACAATTCAGAGGAGAGTTTGTGTCTAAATTTTGACGTGTTTTATTCCCGAGATTTTATTTGTTTTGCTACCATATTGATGGTTTTGTTTCTTTTACACAGGAATGTGGTTGGCAATTGTCATTTGAAGTCACAAGGGAATAATGGAGCTCTATTGGCGAGCAGTGGTCACATGACAAGTTGACAGGTAATTTCCATATATTGCAAAGAACCTATGACTTTTCAGTGAGTATAAAAAAGCTGTGTCTCCGTTCTCTATGGGATATGTTGATGTGAATTTCAAATTGAAATTAGGTAAACTTTGACCCAAAACCACTGCAGCATACTACTGCAAAGGTCTGTTCAAAATTAACATTGGGTGATTTGGTTTGCCTTCATCAGGTGTCGGCATCAGCTGGTGGGTGCCTGTCACCGATGTCTGGTCCTTCCAAGATGCATGATG